CTCGGCATACATAAAAATTAGTTTTATATATCCTTCATTCTTTGGAAACTACAAAAATCAAAAGTAATTAACGATTACAAATTACAACACTTTTATTTTTATTGACTAATTAAATTTAGAATGAACTTATCTACAAAAACAAGTACATAATTTGTAAGTCGAGACCATGCATTTCGCAACAATGTCTCCTGGTAAATCTGCATATAGATGTAAATGGGGCGATCCCTGCTCTATTAATACATCTACCGAGATCTAATGTTCGGTGCTACAATATTATCTTACATCTAATATCTGACCTCATTTAAGTGTCTATCTGTTTATCATTCGCTCTCCGATTGCGTTCCGTTGACGTTATCACACTTTGTTATCGGTTTGCCGACTATTAATGCAACTGGGGAGCCGGGGCGTTCATTATAAGGGAAGACGCGTTACGTTATGCACAACATAACTATATAATTGAACTAAATCTCGATTTGTTGTTAATTAACTATAGGGAAATTCGTTATAACGAGAAAATGGCATAGTAATTATACACGAATTTCTGAGTATTCACGCAGCTATTATAATTTTACATTAGTGTTTAGTGGATTTGTTAATTAAAACAAATCTCTAACCAATCGTGAAATTTCTAATAAACTTTTTTAATGGGTATGTTGCAGTACGTTGGGTTATATTTTTTCCCCTTCGCTCGAATGATTGTCATTAATGTCTCATATCCCATTATCGAGAGGCATCATCTATCACACAACATGATTTCAAATACGATAAAACCGTCTGAAAATAGGACGTCCGTTCGGATAATAACTTTTCCGACCTGAATGACATACATTTCGATTTAAAAACCTATCACCGCCGATAATTTCATTCTTATTAACGTTTATCAGCTCGATCTGATATAGTTCGTGACGTGAATACGTTGTATCTCCATCAAGCGGACGCCCTAACTCTGTACAGCATAATTAAAGCTGTGCTTTTTGCGCCATACACTTAATTTGGTACGCCCTGTTAAATGTATACTCGAGTTGTTTAGCGATGAAATAATTTAAGGACAATTAAACTAACAAATAATTCGCGAAGTTGTGTAAACGTATATATACTTCACGTCGGGAAACAACTTCCAACTTCCACTCAAATAAGAAAATTCATTCGAGTATATGTAACAACCGAAGAAGTTTGTCCTAGCTGTATAATGGAAAACAATAATACTTGCCCGAAATAATAGAAAACGGGATCCATTCTATCTGTTAAATTATAATCTTATCGAGTACTTTGGGCGAGCGAATTTATATCTCGCTAAAATATTATACGAACTTAGTCGAAATATTATACGTAAATGTATATCTGGCAATAAATACCTAGGAAAAGGAGCTCGTGATTAAGCAAACTTCTCTACACAGGCCCAAGAAAAGCGTAACGAAGTGAACGCTTGGTTGGCGATCCAAACAAGTGGAAAATGAATTTTCCTTCATCGAATTCATTGGGATAATTTACGAGAGACTGTTTATAGACAGATATACGGTCACATACAGGATCAATCAACTTCCTTCTGGAGGTTATTCTTGCAAGAAGCTGATAACATTTAGAACGTGGAATATACTCGCTCGAAAGTGTCTTCAAGAAAAGCCAATGTTGCACGCATATTACTTATAACTTATAAGTATAAGGCATGAAAAATGCGCGAAATTGGAAATTATATATGTTTATTCGCGTGGAAATTTATTAAGGAAACATATATAAATATAGCTTCAAATCAAACTCTTTTTTTTTTCATATAAACCTGCAAAATTTTACCCATATTACTGATATTTAGATAGACTAATTTAAATGACTAAAAATAACAAAAGCTTTTAATTTTCACGCAGGGATCTAAATTGGGATATTTGAGGATTTATCAAGCCTACAATTTTACTCTGCTTATAATACGATTTTGAACTTCTTGAAATAGAACGGGATGTTCAAAAAAAAATTTTTTAAATTATTGATCCTGGGTAAGTGAATTGTGGATAAAAAAATTAACAAAACAAATAAAGAACGCCACTGGATGTCGTCAGTGCCGTAATGTGTGCGGCGAGCGTACTATACAAGGGTAAGGGTGGAATCCATTGGACTGAACGTAACAGCTGATGTCACTCTTTCCCCTAGAATCAACGCCAGACTTTTCATTAAAATTATTTGTGCTCGCGATAATTTCATAAAATATGTATTCTGCTTCCTTATCTCGGTTATATTAACTTAGGAAGGGTTACGTTCGTACGTTTCGGGCCTCCAACTTTTTAGGAAACGCGCCCCGTATCAGCGCGAGGGCGTCCCGAGAACCGTTCTACTTCGGGTAAGGTAATCTTTTTTATCGCCCAATCTCTCGGCAACTTTTCGAATTTGTATTAAATAATCTTATTTGTATTCGCGCGAATGTTTGTTATCTCGACGAGTTCATCGAAAAAATTAGCCCCCTTGAGTTCTGAATATGATTTTTTTGATCTACTCTATTTGATAGAAACTATTAGATAGGTATAAGCTATTCATACAGAACTCTCTAAATTAAATCTTCAATAAATGGTTTGATCTTCCTTTATTTTATTAAAGCCTAACTTGAGCACTCCTAAAACTTCTTTGGTATATGAAACATCCTGTAGATAAGTATAGCGATTACTGCGTTACCGGCTCGTTGAACTTAGAAACGTTATACAAGCGAGTTTCCGAAGGAAAAAAATCGCGTATCTGCCGATGTTCCTCCTCGTATCAACATCAACAAAGATATTAAAAAGTGGAAAGTTCGGAATATCTGCCGTGGAGGAATCGCGAGCGGTGATGTAAGTCACATTCTGGAAGAATTGCCGATAAACCGGGCGCACGTTTGAAATATGAATTCTTTGCATACCTCCCGATCCTGTTATTATTTTTACCGATAAAAATTTCGGATTAATTCCGGTCGCTTAACTCGAAAGAAAACGCACAAGATCGGCATGGCGACTTCGAAATACCTACAAATATTAATCTTTTGGCGAAATACATATTTCGCTTCCGATTCGAGTACACAATACGTAAGTAAACGTTTTTAAATTAATTTCCCCGGAATAGAATATAATGGGGTGTTTTCTCTCTAATTTATAAGGTTAAAATTAAGAGGGTGCACTTCTCTGAGAAAATCCTTATTAAAATCGAATACGCCCGAAAATTTAAATGTCTTTATTCGCGCACACAATGAAAATAATAGAAATGGGGCAGGAACGGCGAATTAAAGAAAAAAAATCGACAGCAGGCGATCCGATCGACGACCGAACAAACCGAAAAACATACAATGGTATTCTCAACAGCGGGACCGAAAGGAAATAAACGTGTCGTCGATAATCACATCCTCAGTTACAAATTATATAGTTACTCTCTCACGTTACACCCAGCGTTAACTTCCAACGTAAAGGTATGGTTATTTAGGGGCGCGGATTTTCTATTGTAGGGGGACTTTGTCTTGGGAACGGCATTACAAACCCCATTATTATTAACACACGTCCAAGGAGCCTTTCGATGTATTTATTTACACTTTCGCAACTAATTATTTTTATTTTTTTACGAGTACCTTTACCTATTTAATTGATTAGAATATATTCTAATAGATTTTTGTAACACTTCTAAAAATATTTTCGAAACATTCCGTGGGGAAATTCGACGAGTTATTGGAAAATTAAATGTGACAAATTAAAATTAGAGTACGTAATTGATGTAAAATTTAAATATGTAGGTAGAAAATTAAATACCTAAGTCACAAGCTATTATTGTGTTTATACACAAAATTGCACATATCGTTTGAAAATTAAATGCCTGTGTATAATGTGTATATGCAGAATTAATTCGAGTAAAATTTCAATAATACAAAAAGGATAATTTTTAATGCTTTATTTAAAAAGCTCGAGCTGTAGCTCGAAAACTAAAAGGTTTAGGACATATATTGATATAACTTTTTTTCTTAAAATTATCCAATTATTCACATCCTGAAGTTTCGTCACTCAATTAAATAACACTCTGTATAATCTATCAGATTCATCAACTCTTCCATTTTTTGAATCGTTTATCATTAATAATTCAGAGAAAAATTAATTGCTAGATATTTTAATAAAAACCCCTGGATACCAAGCACATAATTACATAGGTTATTCCCGTCTTGCTATTCATTGTCCCTCGAATTACATACAATAGTAGATTTTAATAACATGTCAACAATAGAGTTCTCCTGTGCAGATCGCGACATAGCGAGGAAAAAGAAAGTATATTAAAAAGGTGGTGCAAAAAAAGTTCTACATTCTAAAACTGCCCAACTGAACACGAATAAATACATTATTTTTAGTTGAACGGTGTCGTTAAAAAGAGTCACTTTAGGATAAGTAATGGACGCCCGCTGGGCAGGATCCTGTCGACTCTTCGTCCATTCAACGTACTTTATGGAACGTGCATTTAAACATTGGAATCATCCGTAATTTCCGTTATTCGATTTATGCGATTAACCACAATATATTTATTATATTTGCACGTACTGCAAGGAATTCGATTTGCCAGATTATTAGATTGCCATTATTCACTCGGGCCGGTCGTATTTATTGTTTTCTAACAGCGGTCCTCGAGCTTTTATTATAAATTTTCTCCAACGTAAATATTGCGTTGAAGAGGGCGCGGTAAGGTGGAATAAAAACACAGAGAAATCCGTTTGAATTCAACTCGTTTATTAAATACAAATACCTAATAAACATTTATTTTTCAGTTTTTATCACAAATTTTATAAAATTATGTACAAGAGCGTTTATACAAAAAACCAGAATAGGAAATATAGGTTCGAATAGGTTCGAATTAATCTCGTTAAGGACTAATTTTTCTCATCCCTATTTAGTTTAGGGGGCGGATGGTTGGGGATGGCGGAAGGGACAGGAACGAGGCTTTATTCACATAAAAAAATATTTCGTATAAATAAAATAGATCAAAAAATTTGTTCGATTCACCGTTGGAATTTGAAATTACCATTTGGCCCGTTTGCCCCAATCTTTCGGCGTCCAATGGAGGCATTTCGGATCGATTCGGATTTTCCGGCTCTCCATCGCCTTCAATTGGCTTTCGATCGTTTCTTTGCTCAACGTTATAATGTACTGGCCTTTGTAATAATTAATTAGATTCAAATTTTGCAACGTTGATATTACGTCCTCTTTCTTGATGCTGGTCAACTCGCATATTTCGCTGTAATTAAATTTCACGTAAGCTCGATTTTAATCGAGTCAGTTACGAACTTACTTGATTGTTATTTGGGGTTTCTCGTTTTCACCTATCGGTTTCATTGATAGTAAAATTTCCAGTATCGTTTGAGCCCAATAACTTCGATACGACAAGAGACCTAAATCCGATAAGGGTTTTTCCGGTGAACCCGTTTTACCTTCAAATTTAGATAGCTCGTAGCCTAAAATATTGAGCTTTTATTTTAAGCTGATTCTATTTAAATAACTATACTTACTAAATTCTATAAGAAGTTTACCGTATCCTTTTCTCTGGTAAGGAGGCATCGTTAATATACAAGCGACGTTATAATCCTCAGTAGATTCCTTTTCTTTAGAAAAATACCCTACTATGTGGAAACCTCTTATATCTAACACAGTCATTATGTAGAAAAGAAACGGATCGGTATCATAATACAATGTTTTGTGATCTAGAAATAGCTTGGCTAGCAGGCATAAATTTTGGGCGTAAACTTTGTTTTTCCTGCCGTCGATTTCGAAAAACGAAATGTTATCTTTCCTGTATATCTCGTTGCCCGGTGGATGCCTCAGGTTACACTTCGCTAGGTGGCGCTCCAAACATTTTCGGCTCTTCCTGTATTTCAAACAAAACTCGCAGATGTATATGCAATCTAAATTGACCATTTCCTAAAAAACAAGCATGAGTACTCGTAATATTTCGGTGTAATTGAACTAACTAACTTGTGGATACGGTGCAAAGTACCAAGGTTTTATTCTGTGTTTTCCCAATTCTATTAATTCGATATTTTTCATTCTGGTAACGATATCATCGTGATGCGATACCATACTTCCTGATTGTCGAGGCCCCGGCGTTAATCCCTGTGGGGCATCTTGGGAGTCTTCGCTTTCTAACGAAGGACCTTTCCTTTTTCGATTTATGCGTTTTTGTAATGCCGCCGCTAATACGGCGTTGCCATTTAATAATTCCACGTTGTTCACCGGAGAAGCCGGCCTGGAAACAACACCGCCTCCGCTGGGCAAATTCGCTACGCCTCCACTTGCTGCTATGATTCCGCTTCCGCCGCCTCCGCCTCCGCCGCCCCCTCCGCCACTGGCAGGACATGCTACACTTCCGCTTCCGCCACCTATTTGTAACTTTTTCGGCGTCGAGACGCCTGTACTACAGCCACCTGTGTCCTTTCTGGGGAAATGGACTTTCCTCGTATCCAACGATTCTTCCGTTACCCATTCGTCTAATCGTTTATTGACTGAAAATTGATGTAACAATTAACGCTGCTTGTTTATAATGGAGTTTCTGTTATACTTACAATCAACGTAATGAACGTAATAGTATTTGGAACTTGCTACATCTTTTATACTGATTATTTCTGCTAGAGCTGGAAAAGATATGTTTTTTAAGTACACAATTGTCCTGAATTTGTGTATTTACTTACGCCAATCGTTAGTTCCTGTCATATGCACTGGAAGTCTACATCCTTCTATTAAGGAAGACTGCAACAAATTCGAGTATATTGTACTATGTAGAGCAAAGTTATGAATGTACTTACAACTGAGTCGCATATGGTGAGGTCATCAATATCATCCATTTCGACTTTCATGTGTGTAATTTGTTTTATTAACTTCCCTTTTAAATATTTGTTATTTAGTTAATAAATAACTAATCAAAATATACAAATATTGTACACTAACCAAAAAATTGCTTAACTGTCAATAGTGTCAAATGTCAATGTCATAAATGTCAAATTCGTCTTTTTATTACGAAAAAATAATTTACTTTAAAAAAAAAAGAAGAAAATAGTAAATTTTGAATATAACCTAAAATATACTTGTGTTCTTAAGAAAAAGGATTTTCTTTATTTAAGTTGAAGACGAGTTGATTTTATATAATAAAATGACCATAATGAGTGAAAACATACAACTTGAAAGCGAAGGTAAATATAATTTGCTATAAATTATTACAAATTTAACAGCCTTAATGTAGCTAAAGCATGGCATTTACCTACTACTTCACCATTAAATAAATATAATATTTGCGCATTACTGCTTAAAATACTCGTACATTAACACATATTTAATTTTCAGAAGAATCGATCGGTGACAGCAGTGAAGCACCAGAATCGAAGGACTCTCCCGATGAACAGAGCGATAATGAATTAGCAAACAGTGGTTGGGCGGATGCAGTATCGAAAATTTTGAAGCAGAAACCCAAAAAGAAATCCGTTGTATTAGCAAAAGCCAAAAAATTGAACGATGTGAAAAAACCGAAATCCCAATCGTTGGATTTTGAAATCGAAGAAACAGATGGTCGCATAAAAGATAAAGAAGAAGTCTCAAGTGAAGATGAAGAATCCCTATCAGAAGAACCTGCTAAGAAAAAGGTAGGCTGTTTGTACATATGTACATGTAAAATTAATTAGAAAAGGTTGTAAAGTAAAAGTTTGTTTTAGAAAAGGGAACTACCAAATTTAAGAGTAAAACCCAATATATTGGAAAAAGACAGGGAAAGATTATTGCAGAAAATAGCAACAAAAGGCGTGGTGCAATTATTTAATGCAGTGAAAGCACAGCAGAAGGATATGAGTAAAAAATTGGAAGAAGCTGGCCCATTGGAAGTAAGGAGGGAAAAAGTGTTGAAAAATATCGATAAAAAGACGTTTTTGAACGTATTAATGGGCGAAAAGTCGCAGCAAATTGAATCAGATGTAGTTGAATCGAATAGAAATCCAGAAAATTCCACGTGGAGCGTTTTAAAAGAAGATTTTATGATGGGCGCTAAAATGAAAGACTGGGATAAAGAACTAGAAGTTGAAAGTGAAAATGAGACACAAATTGAATAAAATATTTGTTTTGCTTATATTTGAAAACAATCTTTATTTTTTACATATTTTTTGTATTTGTCATTTATTTCAAAGTTCTCCAAAGAATTCAGAATATTCCTATCCTCATTGGTCCTTTCAACACACTTTCCTTTAATATTTAATATTTTGGAAACGTCAACCTTTTTTCTTTGGGGTTCGACGTACTTTTCAGCAAAGTATTTCATTTCTTCCAAAGATGCTAAAAAAACTTTTTCCTAAAACAGAAACTTGTTAAACTCGTAAATAGATGATAAGCAAAGGGTTTTTAATTACTTGAACAAGCTGAGTTTTAAGAGAATTCAATTCCTGAATCAATTTTTTCCATTCTTCCTCTGACACTTTACGACTGAATTTATTAAATTCTTCTATCATGCTGTCGGGTAATTTCATTATATTTCGCAATTCAATCTATAAAATATATCAATCTTAAAAAAGTACAGTAATAACTTTACTTAACTTACTTCAAATTTGCCCAAAACATCTTTTACGCTACTTAAATACAACAGATATTGATTATGGATGTGTTTATCAATTTTATTCGATGATTTCTCGTCACAAATACTTTTAATTTCACTTCTTAATTGCGTGAAATATTTTCGAATAATCGATTTGATCATCATTTCAACTAAAATTATTGAATACAGGCATTAATAACATAAATAATCGGGAATATTGTATTGTACTTACAATCAATCATTAATTGGTTTACGCTGAAACCGTAGTATTGTGTTTCACAAATGTCGTTCTCTAATTCGGACATTTTAATTTATTCTAAAATGATAAAAACCGTATACAAAATATTTAAAATAATTTCTCTGTTGAGAAAACAATAACCGTCCAACGACAGCGTTCGTTTTTAAAATTGACAGACAGGTGACAGTGACGTAGACATTGACATATGTCTATAATCTTTAAGTTGTCCTCTACTATGTAAGTAAATGCCAAACATTGTGAAGTAAGCAATTTTACATACTATTTTTAAAAATGAAGAAGAATATATAGGTTAAATTTAAGTTTCCTTATTCGGTGTTCGAAAAATATAAATATACACGAAATAGCTGCGATAATGAACATGTAAAATTTAATAAACCATGAAAAGTATTCACATTTCAAACGAAAATGGAATCAGGTACTTTTGAAACGTTGAAATCAATATCTGTATGTTTGTTACTATCAGTGATTTATGTTGGGAGTTTGCTAATATGGAACAGCCCTTACAGCAGAGATCATCCGTCGACAATCAAAAAGAGGTTTATAAGCGCGTTTTTAATGCTTTTTATATCGCCTTGCTTCCTGTACATGGGATTAACTGATGAAACCCTCGAGAAACAGACGTTTCTGGAGATACTAGGACTGAGAACTCAAGGGTTATGCCAAGCCATTTTCATGCCATTATTTCTAACCATAATATTATTTCTGGGACCTATTTCCATGGAATTATACAGCGGCTTATCAAAGCTTTACGTTGAAGAGACTTATTGGTATTCCAATTTGACCAACTTGATATGGCTTCGGAATCACATAGTGGCACCGGTTTCCGAAGAATTCACTTACAGGAGTTGCATGCTGCCTCTACTGTTGCAGTGCTTCAGCCCCCAAACGGCTATACTGAGCTCCCCGTTGTTCTTTGGAGTGGCTCACTTTCACCACATGTGGGACAGGATACATCACATGCGCATGAGTTTCGAATTGGCTCTGAAGATATCCTGTTTTCAATTTCTTTATACAACACTATTCGGTGCGTACTCCGCCTATTTGTTCTACAGAACCGGCCACTTCGTTTCCATAATGATCGTCCACGCCTTCTGCAATCACATGGGATTCCCTGCGATCGGTGAAATTACTACTTATAAAGGCTGGAGGAAATTTCTAGTGATCAGTTCCTTTTTCATCGGTTTCGGTTTGTGGTGCTTTTTATTGAAACCTTTAACCGAACCTAGTTGGTATCACCATCAAGTATGATAGTTGAATTAATAACTGTGTGATTTTAAATGTATTACAATAAAATTAATATTTTATAATTTTTTAGTTTCATTATTTATACATCTGGAAATTTTAAGAATTTTTAGAATAGCTGTAAAAAATGATTACAGTAGATTATATTTATCATTTAGTTACAGCTCGAGTTATTTTATTTTTAATCTAGTGTTGTCTGGATACTAACTATGTTGAGACGAAATATTTGAACCTGTGTAGCTGCTAGTAAAAGACCACGACGTAATGAAATGGAAAAAGAAAACAATAAAATTAAACGTCAATGTGATGTCACAATTGATCAATTAGAGCTGTAAATGAAAAACTTTTTAATGGATTATTTAAGAAAAAGTGAGCAAATGAATCCGATTCAATGGCTATATTTGAGCAACAGACATCCAATAAAGTTTTATTAGATGATACCGAACCGTTAAAATGCGTAATTGAACATTGGAAGAACGTCAATGGACACACTGTAATAGCAATGTTATCAGTTTCGTTTCTTGAATTATTAACGTATTTTTTTCAGGAATTCATATTAAAAGTTTACAGAGGACCGTTTTCAGACCAAACTTGGAAGGTTAGCAAAAGGTACAACGATTTTTGTAAACTACATAATGTGCTGCAATGTTCCGGAATACCTTTGGAGTTACCTCCAAAAAAGTACATTGGAAATATGGATCCGCATTTTATTGGTGAAAGACAACAAGCTTTGCAGGTAGTTCACATATCAATTACATTATTCCACACCAAATATGTAAATCATGTTTAACCGATTGATACAGAAATATTTCACCGGATGTATTGTATATCTGGCATTACTGAGTGGTTATGATTATTTTGCATTTTTTTACTAACTAATGAAAACAGTTTACTCACTGAAATTGCAAATAATTTAGTTAATGACATTGAAAGTAACATTTATTGCGTATTCTTGGGTCAGTTACAGTTACATTGAATTATCATTGTAGGTGTTTGCCATTGAAATTTCAAAATAATAAAATAACAGCGATAATTTTTACCCAATTAACATCGTATTTATTTATAGATTTTTTCAATTAACATATTTTTTTGTATTTGAGTATACTCATAATCTTCAGGTTTATCTTATCAACTTTCTTAATTTACTTTTAATATTTCCATAAACGTTCAAATCCACATAAACGTATTGAAATAAAATATATTAATTGTCAGGAATATGCCTAATCTCTACGTTTTTTATGCATTATAGCCATTTACTATTTGATTAATAATCCTATGAATTAATTATTTGCATAAATGGAATCGTGTTTAGTAGATACAACTTGTATTAAGGAAAACCCATCAATATGTCTTATTAATTAACACTATATTTTTCTCAGAAATATCTAGACAGCATCTTCATGAATCCAATATTAGTGTCTTCGCTTCCCGCTAGATCATTCGTTGATCCGGCGAATTATTGCCAACCATTTGGAGGTGAGTCGAACGATTCCTTCGATTCCCTATAATTAAACCATTACTTTTCCAGAATTGGCGCTTCAACATGTATCCCTCGCTTTGAGAGGCGAAGTCGGCTGGGAAGTAATAGGCCCCATAAACGACATCGGCTGGCGTTTACGTAAACACTACTACGATCTGAAATGCAAATCTCTACCGAAAGATGAAATATTCGGCAGTTGGACGGACTACGGGCCCGACAAGTATTTGGACGATAAGGAAATGCACGCTGTGTTTAAAAGTCTCGGTCAGATACAGGTGAAGGAAACGCATTCAAAGCTCTTTGTTAATAATTAATATTGTTTGCTTGTAGCATCCTTATATACAGCCTATTGAATTGTGCTTGTGCACTGATATCGGAGCGCTGGTGGCTCGGATATCGCACAAAAACGGAACCCTGAGGGATCTTCTATCGGGCGCCAAACCCCGACAATCGTTTCTGAAAAAATACGGAAATCCAAAAGGCCATAAAACTTTAGCGCCCAATCAAATAGCCCTGTACGGTCGTCAGATATTAGAGGCGTTGAAGTTTCTACACGACAAGGGAATTCCTTATGGTAAACTCATTAAAATTCACAAAAAAATAGATAAATTAATTGATTGATTATTATAGGTCATTTACATTCTGGAAACATCATCATCGAGCACGATCGCGTGAAATTGCTGGACATTGAAAACGGGATACTGGGAGTGCCTTCCTTTTATCGACCGTACTTCATGCAACATAAAAAAATTAACAATTTAGACTCTGTCGATGTTTACTGCTTCGGACACGTATTGTACGAGATGGCGTTCGGCAGCCCTTTACACGAAAGCGTCGCCGATAACATACAAACTTGCCCTATAAGTACGTCAATCGCACTCCCTTCTAAAACCATTCGATTTCACAATAAACTCGGTGTTTTAGAAAACATTTTGAATCGCATCCTGTCGCCGGAAGCCTGCAAAAACGGACTGCCCACCATAGCGGACCTTCTCTCCGATCAGTTCTTCTCCGGCGTCCACTTGACGCTCCTGCCCACTGACAAGGCCCATCTCAAACTGCCCGCCTCCGTCAAAGAACAGCTGAAGAAGACCGTGGACAAGATAGAGGGGAGATTGAAAGAGGAGCAAAAGATGATCAGGAGCCAAAAGCGGCTGGTCAAAGTGCAGGAGATGATGAGCTGCGAAGAGGAGAAGAAGAAAATCGTCAGGCATAAACTCGTATGTAGCTAGATAAAGAAATATGCTAAATCAGCAGAATATTTATTGTGTTTAATTGTACTTTGTAGGAACGTTTAGCAAGAGAGCAACAAAAGCAAACCAGACGGTTGGAAAAAGCTAATAGCATTAATGGAGAACGATCGGAAAGCGTGAATAGCAGCGCGGCTACTTCAATTGGTACCGCCACTCCTCCATCTACGACAGGTAAAATGCCTACAAGTATACGAAAGTACTTGATTTATATGCTATAAATACGAGATTAATCGATCCTGAGTTTGTGGAGTATTCTTGTGGGATGAGAAATTGTAGATATAGTAGAATGTTTTTTTGGTGCAGGTTCTAATGTTCCATCGCCGCCTCCACCGCCGCCACCGCCTCCTCCTCCTCCTCTGGAGGGTAATGTGGCGCCCGCGCCGCCCTCGGTGAACGGGTCGGGGGCGCCAGCCGCCGTTGGTGGGGCTGACAAGGGGCGATCTGAGCTGTTGGGCGCCATTTGCAACTTCAACAAGGGTTCGTTGCGTAAAACCAAAGTTTCTTGAATACAAAGGAGATCGTCCGGTATTATAGTAAGTTTAAGCTCTATTTGTGATATAACAAAATGAAATAATTTGTGTCGTATGTGTGTTAAGTTTTCGTTTGTGGATTTGTTGTTACGGGGGCTTCGGTTTGTTTCTCTAAATTTATTCACGAATTGTTGTGGTAAGGCGTTCGTGTGTACGAATTGTTTTTGGTTATTGTTTGGGTCGAAAGGAAAGATTTTTCAATCGAACGCAGATATGCGAATTTTGTTCGAAGCCCTGTAAAATATACGATATTTTTAAATTTTAGTAATTTGAATGTTGTAAAAATGTGAGCGATATCTTGTTGGTTATTTGAAAGTATAATTGTATTGGATTTGGATTTTAACACTTCAATTCAAAAAAAATCTTTACCTCATTAATTATTATTTCATCTATATTCTTAATCTTACAAACTGTTTTCATAGTTGGTCTTGTAAACAAACCAAAACTGACTACGTATACTAACATTCCTAAAATTACTCTATCATTATTAAAACTCAATCAAAATATATTAACATACATTGAAGCGACTGACTAACTCATAATTTACCTGTTATTCTTTAATCGAGCGTTATGTTTAATTTTTGTGGTAATAATTATGCAAAAAAATCACAAATTTAATGGAGATATTTTTGAAAACTTATTTGAGTTACCCACTACAAATTCCGTTTGGACTTTTGCGCGACGTGATTCGGGCACTAAGAATTACAATTTTTTATTGAAAAGGGGCCACTTGTAGATTTATATAAAAGCACTGCTATACGTAGGAAAATGTGTCATTGTTAGAAATTTTAGAAAATGCCAATGTATTTTATAAGCATCATACTGATATTGTATCATGAGTGTATAATATTAGTAACGTTTTTTTATTGTAAATATTAACCAATTTTTAATTTTGCCTTATTTTGTTATTTATTACGAAATTGTTTTTAATTTTCCCTAAAAATTTTATTAGCTGTTTTTGCAGTTATATATTCATTCTAGGTAAACAATATTTTTTTGTTAACTAGAAATTTAATATTTTTTCTCATGCATTCAAATTTTTGTTGTACTCAGAATCACCATTGACCAACTAATCCAATTTGTAAAGTTTTTTGTATGTCGTGCCAAATTTTTCTACTGAAAAATTACCTTAGTCAAGTGTTTAACTAAAAGGTCTGATATAATAGTAAAAGGGCCTGTAGGGAGTTCTAAATGAGAATTTACTTGAAATTTTTATTACTTCTTGATGGAACGCCCTGCATGGGATTTTCGCATTTTAAGGTTTTATAAAAATAAATCAAGAAATGCGAATTCTTAAAATGTTTGTATTCAAGAAGGTTCTTTTAGCTCTAGGAAACGATGAATTTTTTTCAAATAGTTTCCTACAATTAAAAGGAATGATCCATTTATAAGACTCCTTCTTTGTAATAGTTTAACTGTATTTATGAAATATTAATATAATATACTTAATGTTCGAATAAACAGAATAGCTCTCCCAATATAAAGAATCAAATAAACTATGTCATAGATACTGTAAACTTTTATTTCTTGTTTACACCATACCTTAAAGAAATAATACATAATTTACGGTATCTACATATATTTAATCTTAACTTATTTAAAAAACAACATAACTACATTAGTTTTGGAACCATCTTAAGATACACCACGGTATTCTCTGATGTGGGCTAAAATCCACATTGGAGTTGCTAAGACTCCTGTAACTAAAATTGCTGCGTGAACCAGTCGTTCGGCGGTAGATATTTTCACCTGCGGTGGTCCGGACAATGCAGACATGTTTCTTGCTTGCTGGAGGACCTGTACCCTCGAAGCAATTCTGCTAGCGTTAACGGCAAACATATTCTACAAGAAATATGTAGATATTTAGTAACAGTAGATAAAATACATATCATTAAACCAAAGAAGTTTCAATTAACTATTAAAAAATCTATTATTTGAGCAAACTTCATAGGTAAATAGCAGAATATCTACTACAGCAATAACCTATATTTAAAATTTATTTAATACCAAAGTTGCAAGGCTGTACACAGGACATTACTTAATTATATAGGTTTTTTAATTACTAATCTTTTTTTAATGTTTGAATAAAAAACTTACGAATTGTCCAAAGAAATTCCAAATTGATTAGGTAACTTCAATTCACCAAATTCAAAATGGTTGCTCCCTTGAGTCCCTTGTCAAGACATTGACATTTTCATCTTTTTTGACACAAGGCCTTGTTCTTTTCGGTTATTTAACTTGAGTTTATATTTGAACTACTCCGTATAGTCAAAGTCACTTATAAAATGAAGCGAGGGAAAGTTGACAGTTGACGTTGACAAATAAATTAACCTTACTTTTTGTGTGTATATTTTTAAAAGTTTACAAGTTTAAAAAAATGCCTTTATCCGTTTCATACACCCCGAATTATTACTCTTTAGAAGATATTTTAGCTACGCAAGAACGCATTCCATGTAGAGTCGCTCAAACAATTCCGAAAATGGGTAAAAAGTTCTTTAATGTTAAATACAATTTTTTTATCACTTATGTTTTTAGGACATTTGAATTCTTCCTCAGTGGACGTAGACCTTCAAGAAGGCACTGTAATGGAATTTCCCTTGTGGTTGGTCAACGAAGTTTGCGTAAGCCGAGTACCTATATTGAATCCGGATTTACCTAAAATCTACAAAGAGTCATATCGAGAGATTTTAAAAGCCGATGCTTGCGCTGTAGACCTGCACAGACTTAATTTACATTTTTACGAATTAGGATCCTACGTAAAAAAGTTTGATAAAAAGAACGATGTACATCAATCTATCATAGATGTAAGGTAAAATTTATTCATAACTTGAAAACTATTTAATTCGTATATTTTTAGACCTTTAGAAGTAGATTTAGACAGTTGATCAATTTAGCTGATAATTCCATATCGGATCCAATGGTTCAACAAAGATTGGACACATTGGAAAGGAAGCTATTTAACGATGCCTACAAAGCTAGAGTGAAATTAAACATTTGGTTGGAGCATTCCGCGACGGTTATAGAAGCTGCTAATATGGTCGTCAATCACAAGAAGAGGAAACGCATCAATCTGGAGGAATTATTGTAACATATGTAAATAATAAAACAATTTAACTTCAAATATTTATTTAATTACAAAATCTAAAAATCGAAATATTGCCACCTCCAGCCTTTTTTAATGAAAATTCAACTAAATTAATCCACAATAAAAACAACCACGAATATATTTTAACATGCTTTATATACAAAAAAGGAAACAAAACTGAGTAAATATAAACCTTATCCAATGAAAATTGTCTATGTCTAAAAATAATAAAAATACAAATAACAAATTTTCCTTATTGCAAAAGTTCCTCGTTCCATTTGGAACTAATTAGATAAAACGTTTAACTGGAAACACTTTAACAAATTTAATTTAAACTAGAAAAACATTTGTAATAAGGGAAATTAACAGGCTAAATACCCTACATATAATTATTGAGCAAATGCCAATAAACAACAAGTAATATTTAACAAAATATACAATATTACATAAAATTTATAGAACAGAAAAATTATATAAAATATATAATAGAGCAGACAGATTCTGGAAATATAAAAATATTTTATATATGTTTAGGGTTTACTTAAAAAATACATAGGGTGGTAAGAAGAAGTTAGAATGAACACTATTTTGTAAGTTATTGCTCTGGAAAATTTTTATACAAACTCTGAAACTTTATTTTACCTTACGATTATAATTTCAGTTCAGTACAATTACATCAAAATAATATTCATTCATCATATTAGTATTAGAGAGAAGAAAATAAGACGGAATAAGTACAAATTGATTTTTAGTTGTACTCCTATCAAAGGAAAATTCATAATAAAAATTGCGCATTTGTACTTTATCGCGTCTGTGAAATAGTGCGCGTTAACAAACAGCATAATATCGAAAATATAGTTCTCTGTAAATCCACAGCCTTCAGTATGAACTACTTTTTTGGTTTTGATTTTTATTGCAAACTTAACAAAAATATGAACTATTAATTATCTAGACTAGGTAATTAAAAACAACACAGTCCCTCGCTAGAGTGCGTTTACATAAACGAGTGCAACTTGGCGAAAAATCCAGAGCTGTGGGGAATAAAAACTGAAAAACAAATCTTTCTTATTGTTACGTTGATATCTCAAGGCACGTTTTTGTAGCACCTTCGTTTCGGTCTCGACCACCATATGGCAACAATATTCTCAATCTCAATAGCACTGTTGGAACAATTCAGTCTTAATTTGCTTATTTTTTCTTCAAATAAAACCCTTTAGATATTTGTCTAAATACGTACAAAAAGTCCAATCTTACACATAACATATCCAATCAATATGATTGCTACGTTGATTATTTCATACAAAATTCCAAAAATGATTCACCCCTCGCAAACCATTTTCGGAATACTCCGTGATCGTCTAAACATTCGCTACAACAACAACCGTCTAATTCAGAAACTGTGTTGTTCCTCTTTGAGCGGCTCCTCTTTAAACGACATGGCGTACGGCACAGTATCGTCCAGGGAAGTTATGTCTCTCATGGTGAGCACGTTGGTCGTGTTCTGGGGGCCCGGCGGACTGGCCACGTTGCTGGTGATCAAATGATCCTGCGGACTGCTCGGCGTCGCCGTCGGCGAAGTGATGGGGCTATCGGCCGAATCGCTGGTGCTCTGGTAATTGTTGTTGTTGGTGAGGTTGTTGTTGTTCGGCACCACGATGGTCGGAGCCGCGTCGATACTTGCGCCTAGAATCGGTTCTGAAATGTTTATCGCAAAACGGAGGTGTTGATGAGGTGATATTTGTTAGAGGAAAGAATGGTGATTCGTGCGCTCAGGAAATATCGTACCTCCGAGGAGCATCTCCTGCAATAAGCTGTCGATGTGGGCGACGCCGAACAATTTGGCGAATTGTATCTGCTCGATCATCTGCCATGTGATCGACTGCAGGGGCGGTAAAGTGAGCAGGAGCTCGCCGAATCTGCCTCTGCTGTCGTATTGGCGGTCGCTGATGTAGTCCTCGAGGTTGATTTGTATCTGATATCTGAGCGCTTTGATGCGGCCCGGTTCGCTCAGACCTTTGGCATCTGAAACGCCACGCAATTATGCACTTCCGTCCCCATCAATAAATCAACGATTGTTTGGGAGTGTTGTGTTACTTACTGGGATCGAAGAATACGATGGCCTTAAGGCAGGCGAATTCCGTATCGTCGATTTGGACCTCCGTCAAAGGCTTGACCAATTCATCAATGACCCTGGATCCCACACGAGAGATGCTTAAATCTGGGGATATGTTACGATGTTCTGGTATGAAAACTGCGGTATTTTCTAAATATTAGTTTAAAATGTTCGTACATTTGTCGGTTTCGATTTTAAAATAAATAATTAACAATAGGCAAGCGATGCGTTTTTTAAAACGATACTAATATAAAAATGTAACCACAACCATTTCGAAAATTAGCCACGGTACCTTATGCTTCGCGTATTTTATCGCGCGATTGGAAATGTTTAAATAATATGGTCAGTGCGTTGTTTATAGTAGGTACTATGACGGATTTTATGACGAACTACGATTAATTTGTATTAAAAATGGAAACTCAAACCAAAATACTTACCAGAAAATGATATTATTCTCTTGTTAACGTGCATGATTTTTCATTATTTCTACGTCCCGTTTATTAATAAAAAGCTTACCCTTACTCCATTCACTCCTACTTAATATTTCGATAATCAAATAAAAAATATTAAAACATGACAAAAAAACCAAAATGTTATTAGTAAAAATTAGTAAATATTAGTATTCGATATTTTGGAGAGAAATTCAGTATCAAATAATTTCCACAATTTAATTTTCTGCAAAGAGTGAACTCACTTAATTTCCTCCTTTAGTAAATTTTTGTTTAAGCTAATATTCCATGAAAATTGTATAAATAATTCCATATGAAACGACTTTTAATTCCTCTTTATGAAAATGTAGTTTAGACAGTGAGTAAGCAATTTTCTGCAATCTTTTACACACGAGACAGCGACGATTTTTTTTAATTTCCCCGTTTAATCGCGGCAATAAAAAAATAATTGCCACCAGTAAATCACGTTTTTCAAGGTAAATGAAATGCGTTATGGGTGTATTTAAAAGTAATTAGGTCAACAAATAAGTATCATTTTCCAGTAATTATTCGTTCGAAGACGACCACACGAGCTTATGTTACGGAAAAAATTGCAGGTACTGTGCAGTACCGCGCAAACTACGTCCCACCACTTCGCTTCTATGCGAAAATAACGTCATGCAAATTTATATCTATATTTTAAATTAATGAAATGTACGAACATGCCAAACATGAAATGTTACATTCGACTCCTAACGAAACGCGATGTTATCGAGAAAGACGAGCAAATTTGGGAATTGTAATAAATACGAGTACGTTTCGTTGGAAATTGAATGTACATTTTTATAAATTCAGAGAGCACTGAATATTCTTAAAATAATTCTATGTTCAATATATAAAATTGGTGTTTTTGGAAACATAATGAAGAAAATTGGAAGAGTAGAAGCATAGGAAAATTTAGAAAAGAAATGCAACGTCAACTTTTTATTAGAAATCACAAAAATTGACAAGAATAGTATTTTCCCTACTACATTGGATTTCTTTCGAATAAGTTATTTGCATAAATAATGCAAATATTGGCATTGAAACGTAAAACAAGTGGTAATGCAAAGATAATTTAAAATGGAGTAATAGCATAAAAATAGTGTTTTTCAAAGCCAATAAAAATTATGTTCTTACTAAATACTTTATTCTTGCCATTTGTGATTTTTAGCTGGATGTCTGCACTTAGAATATTCTAGTGTTATCTGACAGTAAATTATTAATAACAAAAAAAAACAAATATTAGCAAGTCAAAACCTTAGTCCCAATTTTTAACAACAAAAATATCAAAGAAAGGCAACCATTTTTAAGAAAAAATATTTAGTTTGTCCACTTTTACAGAATTTCTTTCTTGAATATTTTTATTTATCGCCTCAAATTTCACCACATCTTTACCAACAAAAAAATTTACCACAAGGTTTTAATATTTATAGATTATTAATTCTTTCTGGCAAATTAAAGGGCATTTTTTAAGATAAATAGCTGTGGTAAAATTTTTGTGGTGTTAAAAGTATATAATTATTTATTTTTATATTAGGTAATCTCGAAAGCTGTAAAACTAGTTTAAAAATACGTATTTAATTAGTCGATATTCTAACTACGAAATTAAGACATCACAGCTAGTAATTATGCACTAAAAAATTGGTAAATAAACAAGTTGCTGACATAAATTGAATAAAAAACAGGTATTGGAGGTATAAACGCGCGTTCACCAAAGGGTTACGTATTTATTTTCGCTGTATTAAGTTATTTATTATTCCAAATTTATATTTAATCATCGAAATTTATCGCGAAAACATCAATAACCAAATAATAGGAATGGCCTTCGCGATTTACCGAAACCGATACAATCAATTGACAATTATTTTAGAGTACTCGAACCTCCACGTGGTAAAAGTATAGCCGGTGCAAAACTTATAGGTGGCGTGCATTGATATTTGTTTTGCACCGACTGTACCAGCTCATCACACCTCCAAGCATTAGAATCCGCACGGAAAAAATCGCCGGCGGAAAATTTTTCCGCGAATTAATTTACTCCGTAAGTACATAATGATATGATAAGTGACCGATTACGCAGTTATACTCTTTATAGACGACATAGGACAGCCAGCCTTCGAAACGGTCTTCAATTAATGTTTTCTTTCAAAGAATAATTACCTGCATGTGCATGCTTATATATTATTTTAGGTCACTCGTCGTTTGACAAGACGGACACGTGATTTTTTTTTAATTAATCACTTCAAAGCGCTTGTAAGTGTTTTTATATCAAATGAATTGTTAATGTTGGAAAAATATCACTTAATTACAAGGACGAAAACGAGCCGCCTGTCGAAATTCGAAAAAACAGAAAATTTACTGAAACGAATGTATGCCAAAGGAATCGAGTTCGCCAAAGTTGTTAATAGCGGGGAAACTCATAAATGATTTCTATCTTTTTAGTTAATAAATTAATTCGCATCATACATTTTATGCTTACTTACAACATTTAACGCAAATAATTGCCCATAACTCAAATTTAAACAACAGAAAAGATTAACACTCGGCCGTTCCGCGCGTAATTAATATAAATGTAATTTCGAAGGAAGAAAAAAAATGTCAACGGCAATTACTCGAATAATTGCTCAATAAAAACTACAAGACCGTTAAAAAGACCGGCCGCCATACCTCCAATACCTGTCGAAATAACCGATTCGCGCATGCAATAAAAATTAATTTATTAATCGATAAATTGTAGTTCTATAATTAGGCGCTCACCTGGACATTCCTTTGTAATTATACAATTGTTGCCGAGAAGAAGGACGTCTTTAAGGTGCATGGATCTCCTGGCGAGACCAAGCAGAAGGTGCTCCCCCGCGTGTGCTCTCAACAGGGCCACCTGAAATATTTCATTCAAAATCAGATTATACTAGCAATTTTAATCACCAGGCAATAATTTAAAAAATGCTAAACACGAGTAATGACAGCGAAAAGAGCACAATAAACAATACTTATTGGCCAGCTAATGATCGTTTTCGAGCATCCTACCTGATCGTCGAGCTGTAATTCTGTGAACGCAGGTATGTATTTAGCCCATTCGACAAGGATCAGCAATTGCTGCTTCATGGAATCGCATACGTCGTTTATGCTAGCCAATTGCCGATTCGATATGTCGTAATCGTTCACCGGATTCGGACCCATTTGCTGTAAAAAAACACCAGAAAGTTAATAAATGCTACATTACACAGTATATCGTTATATTTAAGAAGTATTAAGGATACCTCTTGATGATCAACATTAATAACGAGCCTCCCTAAAGAGTTCGAGTTACCTCTAGAGCCGCTCCGACTTGTCTGGACAGCATTTCGGCGTTCAAAAGCGAACTGACCGAGAGCCCGTTGTTCTGGTTGTTCTCTTCGTAGCTGGGCCTCCTGCAGCTGATCCTGTCCCTTTCGTTTTGCACAGCTAGGAAATTTAAGAATTTTAATAACTCGGTTATGCACTTCAACATCGCCTCTTACCTTCTTTCTTCATACCAGCTTTGAAGCACTTCCTTAATCTACAATATCGACATTGGTTCCGTTTGTCTTTATCCACCACGCAACTCCTGTTAAATCTGCAAACACGAAAATCCAGTATTCTTATTTGAAATCTCAAAGTACTCGCCTCTACCCTTTACTCTATCTTTGTCTGCCTCTACTCCACCTTTTCCTGCCTCTACTCTACATTTCTCTGCCTTTATTCTACCTTCCTCTGCCTCTAATCAACCTTTTTCTGCCTCTACTCTACCTTCCTCTGCCTCTAATCTACCTTCCTCTGCCTCCACTCCACCTTTCTCTGCCTCTATTCTACCCCACTCCAGTGCCAGAGTACAATCTTCTACCTCTGCTCAATCTCCTGAAGCAGCCATTGTACTCTACTCTGCTCGGTCCTTTGCTCTGCTATGATCGATACGTTTGTGCTTACCTGCAGGTGTACAAGTGATTCTTCCTGACGGATCTCCTGAAGAAGCCCTTGCATCCGTCGCAGGAGGCGGCGCCGTAGTGCTTGCCGGTGGCCCTGTCTCCGCAAATGGCGCATTGCTGGCTGATGGCGTTGACGCCTCCGCTGACGTTGCTCAGCGTGGCCGTCAGGGAGTTGTTGCAGGCGGCCATCGTCATGTCCGGGTCCACTGTAATACAATGATGGGCTGGTGAGTTATTGGCGAAAATGTCTGGGCGTTTAAAGGTATAGTGGATGTTCATCGTCTTTTCGATTGGAGCGGTTAATTGTCAATCTTGGAGGGTTTTATCGGTACGAATAGACGAAGGATTGTTTAACCTGGAAAATTTGGTATAATGTGATATTGTTGCGTCATCTATTTTTGGGTTCTCCTTCGGGTTTGTTGCTAAGAAGGAGATGTAAGAGTTGAAAGGAATAACTTCTGGTTAATTAATTAATGAATTAATTGGCCTTGGGTTGGAAATAAATTTATCATTCTCAGACTGGTTTAATGCTACAATAATTTAAATGATTAACCAGACCTTATAAAATTGTCATTTAAGAGGTTTATTTTTAATTTATCATTCGCCAATTCTGCGATATCCACCATATAATCTACTATCAGTTGATCACTTATCAGCAATAAAATTATAGATATTGATAATACTATTGATTTGCTTACAATTATGCCAGTATAAATGTCTGTTTTATCAATTGAATAATTTCTCTTTTTTTATCGAATATAACACATTACTCAAATTACAAAACTAATTATTCTGGTCTTCATTAAACAAAAATAGAACAAACATTTCACTCCTGTCTAAAACGGTATTATAAATCACAAAAAAAATTTAATCTCTTAATTTATGCGATTCAAGATAATGCGCTTTTTATCGTTACGCAGTTTAAATATTTTTTCGCGAAGTTTTAGTTACTACGCAACACACGTTATTGAAATAAAACCGCCGATTTCTACTGCAGAATTCCTTCTGCAGTCCGTAAGCGCTTAAACGCCTAAACGACTTGAACAAATATTTAAAATTGACAAGTATTTGTCGAGCAATTAAGATCTATTCGATGCACTTTTAACGCGTTTTTAATAATCACTAGGCACCGTTTTCAAATTTGCGCACTGCGATTTCTTCAAGGGCGACTCGATATTTTCCAATCTTGTCAAAATTGAGGAGTCAAAAGATACGATAAAATTAATTTAATAAAATTAGAGAGAAAGGCCAAAATAATAAACACAATAGGAGAGAAACTATTATACGCATATAGACACATACGTGTTAATTGAATAATAAGTCAATTTATAAATAAAAGTATTTGGGTATACAATTAATCAATAAATTTTTTACACGGCAATGCCATTAGGTATATTAATTAAATAAGTAATGTGTGAACTCACCGTACATTGTTTCTTAACACACTAAATATGAACAAATTGAGTATAAAAGGTTTAAAAAAATTAACCACAAATATATTTCAAAAGCGTTTTTATTGATTGCATTTGAAATATTATCTAATCTCTAAGAACTCCACTTTCATAAGCTAATATATTACGAACTGATAAAATACTTTTAGATTAGAAATTATACTGTGAGTAATAAAATATCAAATCCAGTACTATTCCAATCGTGAAATAGCTCTCTAAAAACTTGTAAAAAGTAAAGATTTTTCAAGAGTCATTGTAACAATTACAATAATTAATTCCACAATCTAAATTTAAACAAAAAAAAATCGAAGGCCGCGCTCGCCAGTGTATGTATTAATATTTACAATTTAGGAATGGATATTACATACGAATCAGATGAGCTATTCGATCCCAGAAGAAATATTTCCGACATTACGCTAATATTTTTCGGAATGGATTTTAATAATCACGCGCGCAGACCTTGTAGTATTTGCCATACTGGTATACCTGAAACTTGCGTGTCAGCTAACTGCCTGTAATTGAAGAATTTCCTTTGTAAAACGAAACATCTGTTCAAAAATTGCAATTTCGTTTGAATTAGCTTATTAACTGCAGTTTCCAGCAATTCTACTTTCAAAGAAAACAGATCTCACGGATTGGGATAGACTGGTTACCTAATACAGCGGAATGTTGTATTTGTTTAAAACATTAGCGTATAATAAATCAGGTATAGGAAGCTAAATCTGTTAAAATAACTAATATTAAAAATTCTCAATGATATACCCGATTAATATTTAGGAAAATTGCATATAATTACCAACTATTATGTCATTTGGGACCCGGGCTCATCTCAATGTCTATGTATATTTAAGATATTTTTTATAGCGATGCTGTTTGATATATCGGCTAATTATCCAAAAATTATTAGTTTGCTGCCATTATCTATTAGGCTAATGAAATTATTACATAAAATTATAATATTCTAATGTATTTCAGGCAACCTTCGCAATATCATCGTGTACATAAAAATAACTAACATTTAAAAAAACTTAATTAATTAAATATGAATTATTCATTAATTTCGTAATTTTAGTTACAAGTAAATTATTTGATAGCAAAACTACGGCTAACTGGTTATTTATTTTAAAAATGAACGGTGCAAGTACTTATCATCGACCTATATTTTTATTAATTAACAATTGTAATTAATAAATAATTGTAATATTTTTATAAGGTAACCAATACATTATTTATTGCCTTTTGGCGAGACATACGTAGATAAGTTGTTACGACTTTTCCATAATTTTCATTACTAGGTACTGAACTAATGTTACATGTTACACCACATACTTAAATAAATTATCGTTGATTAAAATTGAAAGTAATGCCTTTTGTTTTTGTAACTAATATTAATTTTATTTTAAAATGTTTTTTATCGAAAAACGAAAGCAAGAACAAGCCGATTTGTAACGTTATTACGAATAACAACCATTATTGAATTAGCTTTTTTTAGCTAATACATTTGAAAAGGAGTTCGCCTTGATGCATATACGCAAATTTCATGTGAATCCATTTTTTACGGGCTAATATAAAATTTAATATGAAATTATGCTGATGGTATAATTAGGGATTGTATGAAAAGATTATTTACATATATTTTGCGAAATACCTTGATTAAATTTCGGGTCGTATCTTTTAATTACGTATATTATTTTTTAATGCAAGGAAAGGAACACTAAAAATTTAAATGTTAATTTATATTTAATGATTAATATTTTTTTCGTACTAAATCTCATTTGGCCAAGTTTTATAAACGCTATGGGTTCGTTAATTTCGCAATTAAATGCCAACAACATCAGGAGTTTTAAATAATTTTTAATCATTGTATAATCGTAACATTTTTAAAAATAAGTCGATTTTCGAGCTTACATTGACGAACATAACATCATTTAAGTAATCATTTTAGATTGCCGCCAGTACCGGACATTTATATAAAAAACCCAAAATATCCACCAAGGATAGAATTAAATTCGATAGCCGGCAATCAAACATGCAAAAATATTATCATAACGATTTTTTTTTCATGATTACCAAAATTATAATCGAATAAACGACGATTTATAACATTTTTTTACTTTATTCCGACGAGAACAAGTAAATTTTACGCCTTACGTCACGTTACCTGTCTGTACATTAATTAAAAATTAATTAGGTTTTCGTAATTGATTGCAGGAATTTTTTCTTCTGCCATTATTTTTCAACGGATTAAAATTGGAAGTTGACATATAAATCTACAATATTTACTGGATTTAACACACAATATATTCCAAATAAATTTATTATTAGAGGAAGAAATGTCTCAAATAAAATATGTAGGTATTTTTTGGCAGCAGGACATTAATAGTACTTTGTATTAAACAACTTCATCAGAGTTTATATTATCGGTAATAATACGTAATACTTATTATTTAATTATCACAAAAATACAATTTGATAGATAGGTACTAAATAATTGATTAGAATCTATCTAAAAAAAATGCAACTAATAGAAACTACGCGAACTCTATGAAACTCTATCTTACTAAACTGCCACAGTAACTGTTAATTAATTATCCATTGACAAAAAAATGTAAATAAATAAACACAAACGAGGCAGGTGTAATCGAGTGTATTGAACCTATTTCGATGAAAGTTCAAATCCGCGTGAACAATATCAAAAGTGATTCAACCGTGCCTACAACCTTCGTATTGTCCAAAAGTCGAAATCGCGATCTACCTCAACGCTAAGCGCCGATACCGAAGTCCAAACGGTTCGAAAAATTAACTGTATTAAAAATCAGAGATGTTCGCGAGATAAGCCGCACGTCGAGTGTTTGAACAAAGTTTTAGCGGTCGCCAAATGTTTGGACAGATTTATTTGCACTATTCGGAAATTAGAAAATGTATGTAACTACTAACAAGTTTGGATTTCTCGAGTTGTATTAATGCGCAAAACAAAGTGTTGCATAAAGATTTAAAATTTCGAACAAGCTGTACCAAATCTGGCCAACTCGCAGGCCTATCTGCGGATCCTCTTCTATTCTCCAGATATTACAAATTACAACAAAAGAACCGCGAAACTAAAAGTATATCACGTATTTATAATTTAGTAATATTATTAATAATAATAATAACAATCAAAGATTATGACTAAAATATTATGAATATAAAAACGGTGTTATCGCTTGGAGTTCTAGCCGGTTCGTGACATTTCTCGGAATCTGGATGATTAGACGCACAATTTTTCGATAAACCGAAGAAGCGAGACATTGTTTTAAAAACTACTAATCGAATGAATCCTATACGTCTGATATCGCTAGGGGAAAACCACCGGCGGGTCTCTCTGCACCGCCATATCAATCACATATGTGTTCGTTACATTCCGATAAACTCGAATGGTAATTGTAACGTTTAATTTTGCTCCCATTAATTTTATCACTGATATTAAATAGGTTGGTGCATTTTGTGTATTGGTTCCAATCAACAGGACTGTTGTGGATTTTAAATAACCAATATGAATTGACTGGGATATCTACTCGAGTCCACACATTTTTCAGTTCTAGAAAAACGAGATGACCTCAAATTAGAATGATTTTTCAACCGTTTTCCGCGTCTATTCCAAAGATTTTTCAGAAAATCGAGTTGGAACGAAGTCAAATTTTCGTCTCGAAAATAACGCGATTCATTCGATCCTCTATCATTCATCAGTATATGAAAATGGTAAAAGTGCAACGAATTAAAGCGTTTTTCCGATCGAGAAAAGTGAATTTCGAGCACCTGTTGCGATTTGTTATTATTGTTATTTTTATAGTAAAAACGTACGGGATTCCGAGGCGCCGAGTTTCGGTTCCAAAGTCTAATTTTACTGATGACTTTCGAAATTTTCGACCCGACTATTTATTTCGTTTCGAATAAATTTAGTTGTAGAATACGAATTTAAAGTGCAGCAGTCAATATTTTTCTGGGTCATAAAATTATCATCCGAATTTACCGAGTTATAAAAAATACTGCGATTCCCGGCGTCGAATTTAAATATAGAATTTACAGCGCATAATGCAATCGACATTATCACAATTTGAGGCAATAACTTCATATTCTTTGTTTGGTATTTTTACATACATGCTTTTATGATGGGGAAATAACTGATTAATTTCATTTTACGAAATTGTTGTACAGTAGATTTCCAGTTCCTGTTAAAAGTAGGTATCTAAGTAAACACACAAATCAAGTGCAATTCAAGGTGTTGGATAAATAACTTCAAGTTCGATAAAACATGGCGTCTTCTAAATTTTCGTCTTAATAAATTAAAAACCGGTTTATCGAGCAAAAAAACAGTGGAAAATAAATTATTTCCAGTGAAATTAAAATGTATAATTCATAAGGAGTTTATGTATTTTTGAGAAAAGCCATTAGTCGAATGTAACATTATTGACGCAAACGGATGACCAACTTTTTATTAATTGATTGTCCTCAAACAAATAATTGTAATTGAATAATTGCGAATGATAATTCTTATATTTCAAGGTATCGATATACGTTATTGTTGAAGTATTAAATGAGGATACCAATTTACATATTATACAGAAATTGGAACAAAGTGAAAAGAAAGAAAACCAATCGAATTTATTCACCAATTTCATACAACCTTTCTTCTAACATAAATGAATATTGTACGCACCAAAATCGTCCTTTTTCACCCAAATAATCTACAATTTCACCATGCACTCAACTCGATGGATAACGATTTATCGGTACATTTACATGTATTTTTTACACAAAATTTAGAATCGATTTCATGGAATATCGAATGATAAGATTACGATAAAAAAACGTACATGTTACATAGATTCGTATCGGCAGAACGAACTAATTTGAATTGTAAGGAACATTCGAAAAAACAGTTAAATCTTTCGAGATTATATTCACTAGGGTATTACCCTGGCTAAAGTCTGAAAACGAATGTTGACAGAAATATAGGAATGTGTGTATATAAGTCCGGCATTATCTAAATCAATAAGTTAAATAGATTTTTCGTAATAATCGAGAAATTTTACTGTCGCAATAGAATAAAAAAATTAAGCGACATTGCTGGAAAAAATCTTCACTCAAATAATTTAAGGAATAAACGTATAAAAAACTGTACAATCCTTCCAAAGGTTTAAAAGCTATTAGTAAATGGTAACAATGTGTAAGTTTGTAATAGAAATTATTGGATTGATGTAGGTTTTGGAGTAAAAAATATATAAATAAATACCTTGAAATAATCCCATGTCAAAAAAGCATTACACCTGTTGAAAGGAAAAATCCGATGACACTATTTTTAATTCGCGACTAGATTTCTGATGCTATTCTTGGAACGTTCTCACTATGCATACGCAAAGATGTAGTCGAATTTATATCGAAATGAGACAGACCGGTGCTCCTGTTGCGGACATTTAATCGCCGATGCTGCCGCTATTAGACTATACTATCCCGTTTGTAACAATTTGGTGTTGCGGTCAATTTGTTTAGTCACCAGTTTTCTCTTTTAGCGAAAAAATGCAGGATTTGCGACTGCAATAATCGCCATTGACGTGCAACTTGCTGATAATTAAAAGTTTGTAGAATATATAATTTTTAAAAGGGCTAATGAACGAAAGGCGTTTAGGAAATTGGAACGCCTTAATGATAATAATAGCAGAAACAACGAGCCTAAAAAGCCGAGTCCGCTGAAATGTTAGAAAATTGAGGTAAAAGCGATAAGTAGGTACATATTATAGGCGGTGTAATTTTTTTAAAAATAAGGAAATTTATTCAATCATACGATGCATTACAAGGTTAAATAAGATAAATATAAAAAGAGGAGCGGTGTGATGGAGAAGTTTCGTCTATTTAAATCATAATAGAAAATTGAAAAGTAATGATTCTTACCTACCTATACATACAATATAATTTATTCCAGTTCTACATTAAATGTTATAGCGTATATTCATTTGTGCACTTTTCTTGCCGATTTAGAACAATATTTTCCTCATACCCCTACACTACGCCTTTTGTTATTAATTTAATACATATATGCGTAATGATAAAATATGATATTTCAACAAATTTTAAATGTTATCGTTAAATGACTAAGAAGAAAAGTATACTAAAGTGATAACAGGCGCCTGTGAATCATTATTCATTTGCAGCAGTACATGATTTTAATTTCCTGGGTGCATGTCCGAAACGTGAGCGAAATACCAAATAACCCAGTTTACGTAAAAATATGTTGTTAATAATATTTCCGAGAAAATCTGATTGTACCTGCCGATCTAAATCATGCCATCACAAAGAAACTGTGTCATATTAACAGACTGCAGGTTATCAGATCGATTTGGTAATTCTTCCAAGACAGAATAACCGATTTGGTTGATAACCTAATAGGTTAAAATTAAAATTTAGAGACTATGGTAATTTTGCTGATAATTATTCAATTTTATACCATGACTTTTATTTTTTGAGTTTTAGAGATGGAAAATTAACAGAAATATATAATCTTATAAAATTACCAATTAAAAAACAAAATTTCCAAGCATGTTCATAAATTTCAAACGATATTTTGTGTAGGTAATGTATAATTTTGTAGTTAAAAACTGCACCATTTGAAGAAAAAAAAACAACAATTTCACAGGAGCATCAAGCCAAAATGTAATTAATGTAATAAATTAATTAATTAAATTGAATTAAGTAACAAACATTTTTTCTCCTTCAAAATTTTGACCTCTTCGCTAAGCATATTATACATTCGAATAAATTATTTCCATATTCGAAGCGCGCTAATTAATACAACAACAGTTACGACAACAAATATAAACTGTATATTTTTAGAAGGAAACCTAAAATAAATCCGACCAAAAAACAATAAATAATTAATGAATTCAGCCGAAAAGAGAACCCTTACCTTGACCCAAGTCGGTGGCGACCAACACGTCCATATCCATGACAATATAATCACGAAACATCACTATTACATTAATCGCCGAAAAATTAGTAGCAAAAACGGATTCGGTTTCACTCAAAAGTAGCACTCGAGAACTATTTTGAATAAAAAGAAACTGGTAGAAAGAGATTTGTAAAATATTAACTGCTCAAGAAGATACTGCAGTACTGCCTAGAAGTGGCGACAAAGAAATTAAACTTTCGGTATAGTACTTCAGCGGATTTAGAAAAAAAAATGTGTTTGTTCTATGAGAAACCTGCTCGATGACACGCCGAGCAACAGTACTAACTCCTCTCTAGTAGTGGTACCGACGACGACTGGAGAAATTAAATTTGACTCTGTCATATTAAATAGTTAAAAAACTAGTTATTAGTGTAATAATAAAGTTAGACGCTAGTTTCGTGGAGGTTATGCAATTACGTTTTTATACAGCGTGTTTGACTAGTAATGCTTATTGGATATTATGGTATGCAACTTAAGGGAGATTTTTTTTCGAGTAACCTTCGTGGGATTGCGTAAATTGAGATATTTTCGACTAATTAAAATTTAATAATTTCTACCAAATATAGATTAACAAAAATCAAAAAATAAAATGAGTCACCCGAAATTAGTTTCCTGTTTTGGTATTTGTTTGTACAGATATGTAATTAACTAATGAAGAGAAATTTGAATAGTATAAAAGAATGCAATGATAAGGCAAAATACATACAGTCAATTTTCGTTCATAATAATAATATACTAATAAAATATTTGATTATTAGAACTAAAAAAGAAATATTTGAAGGAAATATTCCACATAATTAATATCAAATTTCCAATCAATAAAATTGTGAAAAATTGTGAATATTACATCCAATTGAAATTATTATGCAAGGGTTTGAACTAAAAAAAAAAACTACTATCATGCGTACGATAACTGTTCCCATTACAATTTAAATGATATACTCTCGAAAAATATTACGATAAATCTTAGAATAGGTTATCGTGGATACTTTTTTAGTTACGGTTTATCTGGAAACACCGTAGATAAGGAAACTAATTTTAAATTTAAAATAGATATTTTAGCTTCTACAGCGATAGTAAACATGTCTTTACCTAGGTACTAAATATAACCCACAAGTTATACCTACTAATTGGAATCCCTTTACGACAAAATAGCAGAAAACTTACCAATAACATTGTAGGTTAAAAAATTTTCATCTAACCGAATAGTGCTGCTTAGCAAGTAGTCGTTTCCGTCGATTTCTCCATCATCAGATATCGACATGTCGCCGGGACTTAGCGAATACAGTGAAGAAGCGGGCATCATATAAATACGCACTTCAACGAATCAAACACTAATTTCCATGCACACAACGGGAACACTAACGAAGAATATTAATACAGTCGCATTTACGATAACTCGCAAATTAACGCAGAGTATTTATTGTTTGTTGTTTTGGTTTATTCGAATGATTGTTACAGAAAGTTTACAACTGTTGTTGAAACGGAACGAGTAGAGAAAAGAACCAGAGCTACATTCAAAATTGGTTCGTATGGCGGCTGGTAGGGGGATACGTATTTATGTAAGAATTTACTTATCGTTTGATAATGGATCTCTAAACAAAATTCACTGGCTACGTTTACACGGTAATTATTGTTTAATCAATACGTTAATTAATTCCAATATTGAAGAGGAGTTTATAATAGTTCTTTTAAAGCCTCGTTTTGTTCAGGAATTTTCTGTAATTTGTGGATTAACTCATATTCTGTATAATTCGATAGGAATTTTATTGGTTTGAACCTTGATAAATCCACCTTAAAGGTCGATAATTCCACCTGTTGGTAACTAACTATAACTAGAATATTATCTAGAATTAAACTGACAAAATTCTAGATTCTAATATAAGAGGTAAGATTAAAATACCTGCACTAAATCAGTAAAATATTTATATCAACGGTTGTTGAAATTATATAATAAACGATTCGGAAATTAATTGTTTGTTGCAATTTAACGAATTCATCAAAGTTTTTAAGCATTCACATAATCTGTTGATGATATGCAATTAATTATTATTTTCAAGCTAGGTATTAAAAATGGAAAATCGCAGACAAATATTTGTTAGACCCCTAATGTTAAAATTCGCATGTTTCCAATTTTACTCGGCAAAACGGGGGTCAAATGGGTTAACAAAATATAGCTGGAAAACAATTTTATAAACTAATTATAAATCACGTGCCACGTGAGATGTTTAATTAGTTCCTCCATTTAATGGATGGAAGTGGAAAGTTTAATGGCACAACATATCACCATGTTTTTCATAGGACGGCCGTTTTTTCGACATTTTGGCTCTGTAAATATTGAAGATTATTCTGCAAAAACATTTAATTAGGAAATAAAAAGCGGGAGGTCACGATGAAATAATTGGTTAAAGCGTTCGTTGCATAATTCGCAAATTAATGCAATAGTAATTAAGGAAATTTAATTGGAGTGCTACATAACAGTTTTAAAAAAATCAATAGGTACGATTAAAAGGATAATTGTCCTGATGGAACACTTAGCAAGGTAGGTACTTAATCCTTAGAAAGGTGTAAAAAATATAAAATTCATATTGACTGCACAATTTTTCGGTTACGCTTGAACCTGATAGAAATTAAAAGTTATCGCATTTAAAAATTTGTTGATGAATAAATCTTTCGATTGCGTGTGGATGTGAGTCCTGATAATTGCAGCATTCGCCGGAAGATGATAGGGCTTTTACGTGCCTCCTGTGCTTTTAAAAAACAATACGAAAAAAATAATACCCGTTTTTTTTTACATAATAGTGATTAATTTCACAAACAGACGGAGTAATAAAAATATAATTAGCATTTCATGTTTGGCGATGAAGTTCTCGATGAAAACCAACCTTGGTTTTCTCTGATATATAAACTTATCTTTTAGCTAATATAACCTTGTTTTAGCTAGTTTCGTGCCGGTTTTTATTTCTCACAGGAAAAAAAGGGAAAACTGTTGTTTTTTCTTTGGGAATTTCTGCCGAACAATCGAAGATTTTATTTATTTTTAACACTCGCTATATCCTTACGGAAGTTGTCTACTGCTTTTTATGAACCAATTTCATCTGTAATTTGATTAATAAAAACATTATGCTGTTACAGAAACTGTGATTTTTTAACCATTGGCGATCATTCAAAAATATGCTGATTTTGAGTTATCTCAAAATATTGGTATTGAAAAAAAATCTTGCGAATGTTTTTGCAAAAAAAACTATAGATAAATGAGGAAATGTTGATTCGACAAGCAATCAGAATATAATACTTATGAGTGGTTTGAGCGTTTGAGATATGTATCTAGTGTTAAAAGTTACTCATTTATTCCAATGAAATTGTTCGAGCAAGATTAGTGTGGAATGGACAGGGTGGACTGATACTGGCCTATAAGATGCAGAAATTGAAGAACTATCTTGAGATGAAGATTCATTTTCACTAGTTCTGAAGAAAGCATCACTGATAGGTAATACAAAAAAGAGATTCATAATGAGATAATCACTACACTATCTACACTAATTTAGCATCAATTAAACAAGAAATAGAGATATTTTAAGGTGGTTTGTCCGATTCTAATTTACGGATAAAAAGATTGGGAATCCTAAAAACTGAATTTTTCAGCCTTGTCACACTTGTTTGAATCGCTAATTCGGTTGGTAGTCCTACATATTATCCGGTTTGAGTATTTACATCATTACAAATCGATTAGTAATATAAACAACGATCATTAGGCCATTGCATGATTATTATTATTCGTTTCTTCAAAGTAAAGGAAGATACGCTACATAAATAACTTTCGATAATATAGAGTGAAACAATAAATTTCAATTATCTTTCGAATTTTGCAATGCTTATGAAATTTACTCATCCTGTTGATTATTATTAATCGCAATTTTTCATAAAATAATAAACTGAATTTTTAGGTTTATGTAAAATATTTCACCTGTAAATTAGCTTTAATTACATGAATAACTGCTCAATGAAAAGCATACCTACAACTTTTTTTTATTATTATAAATACTTAAAATTTATTATTACGATGCAAGATTGTTATTAAGAAATTAACTTTAATTAGGTAACTTAAGAATGCTCCCAAAATAAACAACTTTGATAATAAGAAAAACAACTACTAGAATATTAAAATACTAACTCGATATATTTCAATATACCTTCAACATTCCAAAATATTAGAAAATAAATATTTATTTTGTTTATTAATATCATGATTATCATGCAATCAATCAATCTGTGTCAAAATAAGCCATAGGAAGTGTGTGATATCAAATGCAGAGAAATTTTGCCTAAAATATTTTTTTACATTTTTTAAACGAATTCATATTGAAATATTGCGCGATTTATGTACGCAATTTATGCATTTCTTGAGTTTTTAATAAAAATTGAGAAGAATAGAAAACATTACAAAGTAGATACCGATTACAATTATTATTTTACATGTTTAGCAGACAGTTCGTAGGACCAATTTCTTTTGTCTATAAAAAAACACATTATTACCCAACGATTCAATTTTATTAGCCATCCTACTATAGTTAACAATTATTGACGGCAATTTAAAATTTCTATTACCTAAGTATGTCATTAATGTTGGAGGAAATAATTGATACATCTAAATTAAGTTTTACCACTTCGATTGCCTAATGACCAGTTTTATGAAGTGTTTTTAAATGAAAATTATACAAATCGTCTTTGGATATGTAAGCAGTATTTCAATGCAAGAGGAAAACTTTTTTGTTAGTACGCTACTGAAGTATAGGATGTAATTCAGTAACAATAAAGCTCATTAAGGTATTGTCTATACCTTATCAGACGACAAGAAAAATCAATTTCGCATACACGACAATTATATAGAAACAAGTACTTTTTCCTATTAATTTTGACGAGTGGATTTTTTTCTTTTATTTGTGTAACTTATTTGTTTTAGCATAGTTTTCCACGGTAACATTTAATTACATTTATAAATCACAGATTTCCACTAGGTAATCAATCATGTGATTATTAAATCATGTAGATTGGTTTGATTATCGAATTAACCAAAAGATTATAAAGTTATGATAGAAAAAGAAAATTTATATCACTTTTGGAAACTTGGGTTCATAATAATTCGAAACCGGTCCTGTTTAAATATAATTTTATTTATTCATTTCCTCTATATTCTTATGGATGTAGTCCTGGATAAAATTAATCCACGGTTACATTAAAAAATAGTTTTATTACCAATCTAAAATTTATCAATGCATTTATTTACCCAAGGTATCTTTATCTCTAATGGGCTATCAAACAAAAATAATTTCTGAAAAAGAAAAAAAGTTGCGCAAATTTATTGAATAACCTATAAAACGGATGAAGCAAAAAGGGCCCCTCCGGTTCTGTCCAAATTAACTCAATGTTTATTACCAATAGAAATTCGGGCAATAAAACAAAACAAACACAAAGTAATACAATCTTATCAACGCGGCAAGAAAAATCGGGCTTTGTATACGATTCAACGCACACAAAAACAACGTCCCTATCAATCCAAACTGGCAAATGACGATCGAAATTAAAATATACTAAGCGAATAATGATTACCGTTCTCCCTGGTGACCACCACTTTGGCGTTCTGGACGATGACGGATGTCTCGTTGTTGTTGCTCAGTGTCAAAATCACCTGTTGATCTTCCATGTTGTTTGGAAAAGATCCAAAGGTCGCTATCGCCGGGATTCCGACACTACACTTTTATCAACTTTTCTCTTACTGAGCGCGAAACGCAAACGAATCGAACGTCGGACAATTTTATCCCAAACTCGAAAAGGACACATACGCGCGACATCGGGAGTCGAAAAGAAACAGACAATGGGACGTGTTTCGGTTATTACATTTAGTGACTAATTTTTTCAATGACAAGTGAAGTGACGTTAAAAAAATGCGTTCTATGATTTGTGCGGATTAATCAAATGTTGGAAGAATTCTTGCCAATTTTAATAATTAGTAAACCAATATATAGTTTTTTTTAATGATACAATGGTTTTATAACTCATTTTAATTTATTCAGCATTTAAATTAGTCAAATTTGGCAACACCGCCGCCCTCTATCCGTAACAAAAGGATTCACTAAAGAAAAGAAGATACTGACATTTGTGACATTGACATTGCTAACCTAAAAGATTTGTAAATAAAAATTGGATACAATTTAATTTGTGGATGTGTTTTAGTATTTTTTTAATGATTTTATAAAAGTTGTACGAAACTATTAACGCAGTAATGGATCACATATTTACTATAAGCAAAAAGCCGAGTAGGTCGTTGAACCCTTATAAGCAAAATATATTCAATAAGTAAGTAATAATCCTTTATAAAATAAATCCCACTTTAAATAATTTTATTTCTTAATAGGTTAGAAAAGTCAGTTTTATGTACAATATCGAGTAGCAATGTTATAGCGTTCAGTACTGAAAGTAATATTGAAGACTGCAATTCGTTGTACTGGAGTTCAAACGTATATGTAGCAGACCTAAATAGTCCTTGGCTAATTCATAAGTATGTCTGTAGAATTTCAAAATAACGTACCTTATACAGTTATTATTCCAGAATACTAAGCAACTCTTCTCCCGTAACCGTATTACTTTGGGATTATACTGGAGAATTACTACTGGTGGCCGATGAAAGCGGTCATGTGAGAATATACTCAGCTAAAGAGCACATTTTAAACGACTGGAGCATTGTATTACAAACTACTCTACAAGGAGAGCACATTTTAGCCGCAACTTTCTTCCATTCAGGCAAAAGAGTAAGCAAACTATTATTATCGTTAAATTAAATTTAATTGATTCGTTTTAGATAATTTTTAATACTGATAAAAAAGACAATTCCTCGTACTTAGAAAAATTCCAACATGTCAAATTCGCTTGCTCTGTTAAGCAATTTGGAAACAAACCAGCTGTCGGAGCTCTCTTACTTACCGCAACCGGTATGTTGGCTGTGGTACTCCTACCACAACCGACTTCTCAGACACCCATGATAGTGGCAACGGAAAGCTTGGGACCTACTAGAATATTTATTAAAACCGCTGACATTTGTTACGGAAAGAGTTAAGTACAAGATAAATTCAAACGAACGTCTATTAATTAATTAATTTAAAGCAGACGGGCATTTCTTGCTGGCCGTAAGTAGTGGCGATCCGTCGAAGCCAATACAATGCTATCAGGTATCTGTAAAAAAGGAAGACGAAAAATGCTTCATAAAGAGTCAATCTTTGCTTAGTTTCTTTCTAAACGAAGCATCGAAGGAGACCCAAAGTATAAGTACTTATTGTTTATTTACCACTTATTTATAAACTAGTTTTGTTTCGTATTTTTTTTAGTGGAGCAATTAGTTAAAGAAAGAAATTGTCGCGTCAGCCACATAAAGTGGATAACTAGGGAGGACGCAGATTCCTTAGTCGTTGCCGCCAGTAGTCAAAAATCCAGTTGCTTGCAAGTTTGGGAACTGCAAGAAAAATCGCTGCCTGTTCACAAAAGCTTGGGTAACTCGGAAACCCCGCAGTTTTTTAATACAGTGGTAAATATTATACTTTTAATACTACATACGTGGCCTGTACGATATATTTTTAGATATGGCAATATCAATGCTACTTCAACTACAAAAACTCAGTAACCGCTTTATCTACAAGTAAATTAAGTTTGGTAAACAACGTTTCGAGTGGGTTTGTAGTGGTTACTTATGCGGATAATTCAATACATTGCCTCTGCAAGGATACTCTGAAACCCATTGTTAACACAGCGTTATCCGTAATGCCTCGATATTTAGACGAGCCCAATTGCAAGTATCAAAAAGTCAGCACCAACATTTCGAATATAGACTTATCTTGGCTGGGAAATGTTCTTATATGTTTGGATTCTGATGACAGTTTACATTTGTTTAAATTACCTCCACAAGTATGTATATTGATGCGATAAATCCTCTACCGTACCTTCCATTTTTATATTTTTTTAGATCGAAAGTTCAACTCCATTAAGTGTTCCTTATTGCACTACTATTTTGGAGTACTGTATGATGAGCGGGTTGGATTGGTTAGATCTTTTGTTGGTTTTAAGACCGGCTATGCTCGATCCTATTTGCGACAGATTAACAGAGAGTTTCAATAGGCAGCCGGTGTACGTTCAACAATTTTTCCACATTCAATATTTGTGTATAAAAATATCACTCTACAGGTACTGTAATCGTTTCTAAAGCGATGAGTGGTATCATTAAAAAACGGTTTTTCGCAGATTAAGCTTCCAAGGTCAAGGCAAAGCGAACGACTTGACTCAATACCTCATGTTGCACAGCATCTCGACGGCTTTCAAGAGCCTTCTGAGGCCCAGCGAGATGAACAGCCACGAGAAAAGTCCGGCCGATTCTTTAGCTAGTAAGTTCACCACAATTTTGCGTAGAATATGTAATATTTTGATAATTTCCAGGCGTGATAGCGGAAGGTCAAAGCGACGTGGACAAGGCATTAACGTTAATGCACCTCGAAGCTAAAGAATTCACCGTCGAAACAACAACCCTTCAAAGTCTCCAACAACTCATCCAATGGATAGCCGATTTGGCTTTGAATTTACTCCTCAAATTACCCGACAGCCGCCCCTCTTCCGGCAAGCCCTACGAGTTATTGCGCGACGTGAAAGCTCTAAATACTTTGAGGGAAATGCTGGTGTTGATAAGAATATGGGGTTTACTGAGACCAGCTTGTCTACCTGTATTCATTAAGAGCGACACCAACCTGGACGTGCTGGCTTTGGTGTTCAGATTGCTGAGCAGATTAGTGCAGAACGTCAACGAGCCCGACGAGGCCCTAATAGGTGAGTCGAAATCCCGAATCGCCGGCCCTGAGCTAATAAAATAAATTTATCTGATTCACCATCCGTTTCCTAACGTTTCTAACGCTAAAAAAACCTGATTGATAACAATTCGTTGGTTTGCGATTCGTAAGGTAGGTTTAAAAATACAATCTCGGTTAATTTTTATCGCCATAGGAAACGCGATAATCAATTTATTCTCGCTTGTTCGAATAAACTGTAATTTTTCCTTAGTATCCAGTTCGATAGGGCGATCGAAGCACTCGAAATGGCGGTGGTTAAGAAGAAAATCAAACGCGTCGAATCGAAGCAAAACACTTATTTGCCGCACAAAATTCGATCGCATCCGTTCTATTTCATCGATTTGCCATTGAAAGTGGTGTTGTTTTTTATATTTCTTCTGGATCGTACTGACGCCCGTGTTGTATTCCATTTTCTCTGCGTACATAGCGGGTTTCGCGGGAGCCGTTGTGCCATTTTTCTTAGTGATGCTGGGAGTTTTCCTGATCGTTATGGCTCTGTTCGTATACGAATGGAGGTGGAATAAACACGGCTCGAACGAAGAGGTTTACTACATAAAATACGAAGAACCCGAAACGGATAAACTGCAGGATAGAAACGTGCGAAAAATCGAGCAGAAATTAGCGAAAGACGTCGAAAGGCAGAGTTTGTTGGTGCAACGAATCAGGTTAACTCCGATAGAACAGCCTAAAGTTTTGAACATCAACGAAACGGCCAGACCGGTATCTCAAAATTTGAGTTCTGCTTTGAGCCCTCGAGAGCTCTTCTTCATCGATTTGTACGAATACGCCAATAAAGCCATGCGAGACGTGACTGACAGATTCCTGGAGAACGAGAAGCTCAATTACATCGCCAGCGGGCCCGTTTATCACGTTTACACCAGCGAAAATGAAAGTATCAGTTCCAGTTTTAGCTCCAATTCTATTTCTAATGATACCGAACTTATCGAACAAAGTACCGTGTATTTCGAACCTAACGGACCCGACGAATTGTTACCAGTACTATTCAAAACAAACTTTCCGATGTTGATCATTCCACTATTTTAAAAGTGCTCGAAGAATTCAACGATTTAAACCAAGAAGAATCCGAGCAATTGGAGATTAAGGAAATTCCGAATGATAATGTTGATTCATTGAATTATCCGAAAGATGTTCGGTATATTGTTAACGAGAAACATGTAAGTTACGGAAAGACTTCGCCCCAAATAAGTCAATACGAAATTAAAGATTTCGAGTTGTTTGATCATGGAAAGGCGCCTAGTGGTGCAGTAAAGGAAAATGAACCGGGTAATCTGCAATGGGAAATACAAAAAGTGCTTCAAGATAAACTAACTCAAGATAATTGGCATAAAGAGTATCCCAAAAATATTCAATACACCGTAACGGAAACTGTAACAAACTATCAACTTCCTTCTACAACAACTTTTTCGTCGAAGAATATTGGTCAAAAGCAATTCCCAAGTAAAGAGGATTCGGGGAGGAAGGTTGTATACGAAAGTACTTACATCAAAGAAGATCTGTATCCTAAAAAAGATCTGCTATTGGCTTTGAAAGATCATCCAAAAACTCACCAAGATCCTGTAACAAACCAGTACCAACGCACTGCTTATCCTCAAGTTTCGAAGATTAGTCAAAGACCATTTCCGATTTGTTCCGGTCCTAAAGTACTTGAACCGTTGAAAACCACACCTAAATATGCCAAACCTGTTCTACTGCCTCCAACAACTTTCAAGCCACAACCAAGACCAAAGTCTGCAGATCCTAAAGATTTCCCTAAAAACGTGGAAGAAAAAGTTAAAATTCACCCTACAAAGAAACCGAACGAATCTGTTCTGAAAAACGATGACCAGAAAATACCTCTATTTCAAAAATTGTATCCCGTAGATGACATTGCAAAACAACGATCAGGTATCAAAAAAGAAGATACCAAACGACCATCTCAAGAGCATATTACGAAACAACAAAATCTACAACCTGAACCAGCAAAGAAAGATTCCCCCTTAAATCTTGCTGCTAAAGATGCCCCTAAAAGTGAAGAAATCCCTACCCTTACTAATACATTGTATCCAACCTTCGACAAGCCATCTTCAAGCAAACAGTTCCCCGATAAAAAAGTCTGCATCGAGAAGAAGGACGTTCGCAAAAGCGTACGTTACACGATAATAAGGGAAGAGTTCGACGGCAGCGACAACCGACCACCAACGAGCAAGTAATTGAAGTCCAAGACGACCAAAGCCTTGTGGACATCCTGGAGGAATTGTACGCCGATAAGGAATCGGAAGCTCCGTTGAAACGCATCGACCGGCAGGACTCCAGTCTTCTGAAGGTGTTGGAAGAACTCACTGTCGAGCAGAGGAGACTCATTTTCGATAAAGAAGGCGTCAAGGAAGCGACGGAGAAGTTTATTCAGCACGAACGTTCCGATATTTTTTAGATAATTTTTGTAATGTAATAATAAATGGTTTCTAGTAGTTTGTTGTATATTGAAATTTCCTTTAATACTTGATTGATAAGAAGTACCTTAAAAGTGATAACACTTTGGGATATTAGGAGCAATTTTGATATTGAAAATAGCCCAAGGATTAATATTTATCAAAATTTTGTGATTGATAATACACAGGATATTTTTCAAAACAATATTTTTACCTTTATGAATACAGGAAAAATATACATTCTTGGCATATAAATTTTCTAGCAATTGTGTTATTATACATTTTTTTTTATTTCAGACGAGTGCTGTCAATTACCTAGTCAGGTCCAAATACAACTTCTACAGCCTTGTAATAACCGAATAGTTCTAGGGTCTCCCCAACTTTCCCCAACAAATACTCCCTCTTCAGGTAATGCATTGTAAAATCCTTAATTCAGGACCTCAATCGAATCAATTGTTAAATAATTTGTATTCTTTTAGCTCGAGTTTAATACAGAACCCGAATGTCTGGCGACGAATACGGATAACAATACAATGCAAACCGTAGATTCTATCAGGCACCTGTATTTAGGAAGGACCCCTAGGGTAGTCAAGCAATGCGTGAGATGCGGAGGATCTGCTGGTACTGTACCAGTTACTCGAACAGCAGCTATTCGAGCTTGGGACCAAAGATGGTCGAGGTCCTGTCAGTGAGTATTATTATATCTTTCCTTGAAAACATGATTTATCCATTGTTTTGCAGGTGTGGTGGTCAATGGAGAATGCAAGTTTATTCGTAATTTTTCTGTAATTTGTATTCATATTAAAACTTTTCTTATAATAATTATTATTAGTATTATTTCCGTTTACTTATACAATGATTGTAATGTTGGTTGCATATTCTGTCAGCTTTATTACATTAAATTTAACGTTGTCGGAATATTAGACATAATCAAAGTTACACTAACGGTGTCGTAACAGTATTCATAACTTTGACGTTTGTTTTTGACAATAAAAATATTTTCTGTCAGTGTCAGTCGGTTTGTCAGTGCTCGCGAGAGGTTTACGGGTTTACATTTGCTCAGTTGTGATATTCAATATTTTCAACATTTAATAAAAAAACATGATCGTTATCGTGGTAAAAACCTAGTTGTGGTCGGTGATAGTGCAAACGAATAATGTTATTTTTCTACGTAGACTGCACACCTTGGTAAGCGGAAAATTTTAAATATCGAAAACAATTTTTAAATCGCACGTCTCCTCTGAGCAATTACAACAATTTCGTTTTAATGTTATTCAGATAAAAGTCTGCGAGTGATTCGTCACAAATCATGGATGAGAATGCGAAAGTGCCGGATTCCCCGAAACCTTTAGCTTTCACGATTGATTTCGGTAGCAATCAGAACACCCTAAGACAAAAAGCGTTAGCCGAAAAGTTTCAAAAACGGCATAAAAGAGGACAATCCCTGTCTAAGCTAGACGAAGCACAACAATCCTCGACAAGCAGTTTACCGAGAAAATCCAGCTTTCAATCGGAGGGTTATTTTTCCTCCGATGAAAAACCGGATAGAGCGAAAAGTGCTCATGCACGGATCAATGCAAGTGCCAAACGCAGCGACCTGTCGCTTCCTTTAAGAAACACTACATTAGAACGAATGGTGCAATCTTACCCTTTCCCTACTCCGGAAATAGAGCTCAAAGACGTCTCCTGTCCGGAATTAGTCCAAATAAGTCCGTTCAGCCCTAAAGAGCAACTGAGCAGCGAAGACAACTCCATCAACTCCACGAAATGCGAACAACTCTACATCGGCGAGGAAGAAACTTTCATCGATGGCATTGAATTCGATTTCGATAAAGACGATACAGCGAGCGATACCGGTACTTATACGTTAGACGGAGACAACTATTCCGAAGAACAAAAAGCCCGCATGAGCATCGACAGGGATTTCAAAATCGAACAAGTTACGTTAGAAGAAAAAACCAAAGAGTACGTGAAAAGTTTATCCACAATGCGCGACAACGTGCTGCAAAATGTGTCGCTAATGAACGACGAAATGACGAGGAACATGCGAATGATGAATTTAAAGTCCAGCGACATGTCCCCGTTGAATCCCAAGTCTCCGAAATCCCCTAGCATATTAAAGCGATTCGGCAAACTCTCGCCTATATTATCGCCTACGCAAAATCTATCGATAACAGACGTCGATTGTAGCGAACAGGAACATCTCAACAACAGTAACTGTGATGCGAATACTACTTTTACTAAAATCCTCTATCCTAGTCCGAACGCCAAACGGGACGGCTTGAGGCAGAATTACGATCAAGGCTCCGTGATATCCGTAACGTCCAGTGGCGCTTTCAAAAAATCCGATAAAAAAGACAAGCTATCCAGCCTGATGAAATCCGAAGTGCAAGTTCAAGCGTACATAGACAACGGGGAATACGTCGAACCCGTTTACAGCAATAGCAAAAAAATCGAAAAATCCACGCCTAAACTAACCACTACCATAGTCAACGTGCAAAGCATCGACGTGCAGAGCTCGGTGGATTCCGCCGGCGTTTTAAGCGCTAATATAGTAGTAACGCCGAAACTTCCACCTTCAATCGGCGGTTACTCATCAAGTAAAATTCCGTCGCCCACTCACACGGTCGCGAGGCCGAGGAGCCGCAACAACTTGGACAATCCCGATACGGAAACCATTCTCAAACCGACGCAGAACTACATAAACTCCCTGCAACAACGATTATCCCTCGATCCCAACCACGACATTCGAACGCAACTGAACAACACGGCACAAATACTGAAGCGCAAAGCCTCGCACACCAGGCACAATTCGCTCGACGACGCCATGAACCTGTCGAACAAGCTCGAGCACTTCCAGAACAAGACGTTCTCGAATATCGACCAAACGTATTCGAATTTGTTGAATCAATATTCGCACAAGATCCAAAACTCCCCCAACAACTCGCCGATACGGCGCTCGAGCAGCTTCACCAACAAGCACCCGATCAAAAACACCAACAACTTCGCCCGCAAGGAGTCGAACGTGTGCAATTCGCCGAACGTCACCAGGAGCTCCTCGTCGGCCTCGATCAAGCCGGGCTACCTGAGCAACAGGAGGCGCAGCCAACAATTCGGCGACACCGAATCCAGCTCGGACGACGATCTGCTCAAGAAAGATCAGAAACGCAAAGATCTGTCGACCATAACGAATACCAGGTGCAATAGGGCCTTCAGCTTGAGGCGGGCCCGCGCCGACGGAGACAACGAACCCAACCAGCCGCTCAAATGTCCGAATACGCCGGAGATGCGCCGGAGGAACGTGCCACACGAACGTGCAATATCCGTCGATAGGAAACCGATGAAGACCAACGAAGTGCAGAGTCGCTATCTGCTGAACATCGCCAAGAAGTCGCCCGTCGTCGCCGCCGCCGCGACGCCCGCCAAAGAGGCGAAAATCGTGCCAAAAGTTACCAATACCAGTAGGTCTAACGCTGCGGCCAGGCCGCAGAACTTCGCCAGGACCGATAGCGGTAGATACAGCATGCGAGCCAGCAAGCCTCTCATCACCAGCAGCAACTCAAAAACCTCCAAGAAGGACGCTAATGGTAAGTATAATCTGCGACTTACCTAGCTAATAATCTCTTTGGAAGAATTGAGAGGATAGAAACAACTTGAGTTGTACGATATTTCCATAAATAGAGCTTTAAAAGCGCCAAAGTTCTCCAACGATTAAGCCTATTTTTGAGTTTCTATCATTAGCACTTAGTTGCGATTTTTAATTCCTAAATTGTACAGTGATAAAAATTCTCTAATCTCATTTACATCAGCGACATATTGCAAGTTTATTTTTACGGCGATTCCTGATTAATTTCATTCGGTCGCCTTTTAAATCGATTTGGATTTGTTGTTGTTACGGATTATCTAAAATGCTTTATGCAAAAAATAATTTAATTCGATAACAATGCGTTAAATAATAACGAAACGTTACTTTCTAACCGCAAAGGTCAATGCTATTTACAGAAGTGGAAGTAGAAAAGAAATACAGTCGTTCAAATTAGCGAAATTTCGTAATATTTCATCTATAAATACTCAATTAAATAAATTCGCCTATACGCATTAGCATTCAGGGCTAAATATTTTAGCAGTCTCTGCAGAATACAAATTTCTGCATTAACTTTTACTTAATTATTTGCTTATTATTTATTTAATCAACAGTGACTAATTTACACGTCACCAGTTTCGTTAATATTTACAGCCGATTTTCTCGCATACATTGGACGGTATTGAGTTCATCACCATCAATACAAACAGAAATCGCAGAAAATAAAAAGACTAACGGTTTCGAGACACGAGCCTCGAGGCTCAAATTCCAATAGAGTAATTAGCCGAGAGGATAAACGAATTATTTAGTCAACTTGTGTAAAGTTTTGAAAATTTAGTCATTTAAATGCCGGGTGGTTATCGAGCGTTTCGACCCTACATGTTTTTTTTTTCGTCAGCTTACATCCGAAGTATTTCCGCAGGAAATCGAAAACATCTAGGGGGAGAACTCGTGGGAATGCCGGACGAAAATAGGTGTAAATTGTAAATAGCCTGTAGTGGAAGATTCATTAGATTGCTATTTAAACGCGCTCATTATAACAATATGCTTAGACAAAAAAAATTGAGTACTTTTCACGAACTAATTCAACGAATTCCAACTATTTATCCGAATGGCTAATTAATTTTTTCGACGCGATTAAACCTATAACGATGCTAATACATATTCCGGAAATCGAATTAATTACTAATCTAATTATGTATTGTTCGAATGTCTTTTAACAATATTCGAAACGAGCATTTCGCGAGTTTGAAATAAAATAGTCGAAGCGGTACGGATCGCGTTTATCGCGTAGAAAAAAAAACGCGCAATTAACGGTGGAGCGAAAACCTGGAAAGCCGCCGTTTCAAATCGACAAACGGACGAGCAAGTAGGGCGTAAGAAATTTCTGCATACGTTTATTTTTGTGCCGTTGAATTTGTTTAGAACTCGTTTGTTCAATGAGAGGCAGTGGCGTGCTGTTTGCACGACACTGGTGTAATGCATGAGCAATAACGGTTTTCATATGGCGAAAATTGGGTTATCGCTCGGTTTTTTTCTACGTGTATAAAGCGTTTTTCGTTGGTTATTTCATCGATTTTATATAAACAAGCGTTAAAAAGTATGGCGAATTTTTTTGACACGGTAGAAGATTATTTATTATACATGTAATTTGGAACGAATTTAATTAACATGGGATTGAAGCGTTTAAATGGTTGTTTTAAAATCGATTCGAAGGATCGAAGTGACTATTGACCTGGATCACTTTCCAATAACACTAGCCTAAATTCCAGGAAGTCCAATGTCGGAAAATAAACAAGAAAACCCCTGGAAGCCTCTAAAAATAAACTTTCTTATAAACTTTTCAAGAATCTAAAATGTATTGTGTATGTTTATAAAATTTAAAATTGCTCAAGTGGAAATAATGCCGCGTACCTGTTTGGTTAATTTTCGTTCAAACAAGGTCAAAATATACCATATTATTATATTTTAGTTGGTCAATAGGTAATAAATTTTATTGTATTAGTAATGTCTGGAGACGAAGCTAAAAATCGTAAAATTGCCCGAATTAAATTCAACTAACTAAATAAAAAATTGAACTAGGCCTGTTGAAAGGAAAACACTCTGAATGTTAATATATTACAGTAATTTTGATACGGTCAACTAACTCTAATTAACACATTTCCTTCGGATGTTACAACACTTTGGCTAAACTAGCCATGTTATAAAGCGATTTGTATGGTTAAGAAAACTGTTTTTTTTTATTAAAGCATTACATGTTAGTATTTTCTTAAACTACCACAAATTTTGCGGTATATTATACCTTTATTATTTAACGCGTTGCATTTCATTCGATTTACTTAATCTATTAATTAGTCACAAAGCGTTTTTGTAACAATGGTTTCACCTAACGCATCGGCGAATTTGCGCAAAGCTCTTTCAATTAAACCTAGCTAATTTAGAGCGTATCCAACTAGATGCTATTTTGATAAAAAAATAAAGCGTATATACGCTCGTTAAAGAGAATCTTGAGAATTCAATTCTCTCCGGTTATTTCATTTTATTCCATTGCAATCGGCGTGTAGGAAAATTTCACTTTTTGCATAAACATTTAGGTGAAACGTGAGATAAATCCGTCGAGGATTATCAGCATAATCGGTCGTATATTATATTAGAAATCGATTATTAATTGTACAAGGTGTGTATTTTGAAAATTTCTATCGCAGGCAAAAAGCAACAGGGCGGTCTTCGAAGCAACTCGTCCCTTTCCAGTCGGGAGGTCGAGTTCCAGAATTGGAAGAGGCGGAAGAGCTACGATCCGATGAAAGCGGCCGCTGAAGGGAAGAAAAAGGAGCAGGCCAAGCGCCAATCGCTGGGAAACGGCCAAAATATCATGACTCAATCCTGCACGGAGGCCAATCACAGCCAGGACAGCTCGCCATCTCATTCCAGCTCTGTCTACAGATCGCAGGTAAATTGTTTTATTCATATTATCGCTATATTGTAACTTGTAGGTGTAGCGTTTGATTCACTTTTACTGGATGATTTAGATATAAATGTAGATATTATTTATACGTTTATTGGACAAGAAATGCTGGATTTCACATTGTTTGAGATTTTAAAGTAACATTTATTCATTTTGTGAGCTCTTGATTGATGGGATTCGGTTTTTTCGCAGTAAAAGCGCGAACACGATTTAATAAAAGGGGATTATAAATAGAATAAAAACAGTAACTTGGCAATAGTTCGCATTTGCGAACTTGACCCATAATTTCGGAGTGTATTAAAAGTAATTTATAAATTGCCGAAAGCTTTCAAGAAAATTCGCCGATTGGAAACTAATAGGCAATGAATTCTGCCGATAATCGCAGATTTTCGTGGAATATAAGACAATTTTTAAATTTAACTGGTTTGTTATCCGATGAAGTTATCAGATTTGCGTAATTTTTCCGCTTGATAATTGCGAAAAAGGTCGTTAGGTAAGCAAAATCTTGATGTGAAGAGATTATTGAGCAACATAAAAGCATAGAAATTAATTCGTAATTTTATTGCGAAATAATGGCAATGTAGGTACAATTGTTTCTAGAAGTAAATTAAACAGTTTTTTGTTTTTTTCCTAGTATGTATTTATTATCGATTAGATTGATTATAATGAAATACATGAACAAACGATTAGATATCCGAGTAGTAATGTTAATTTCAACAAAAATACATGAGAAAAAAATGTACCTAATGTATTCTACAAATACACATATCTAATAGATAATTCGTTTCATAACTTATGATTGATACATATTAATTTTATATAAAAAAATTATTGAAATCCGGTGTTTCTTTTTATCTAATTGTTTTAAATAATAGCGTTACTTATCTAGTATAATGTATTATAATAATTGTATAGCATGTTTCTACTCGTTTAGGTATCAACTTTAGTAAATAATATGGTAAATGGTGATTTCTGACAATCGAAACGACACCGGCTAATTCAAGTTTTAACAGTTATAAAATAATTCCTTTCGTAAGTGAACGGCACTCTACTATTTTTGGGTACTAACTCTAATTACTAATCGCACAAATTGTTCTTTGATTAACCATACTAACATAATCACTGTCACTTTTACTCGTGCATTTTATTCACCGAACTCGATGGAAATTTATTCATTTCTCAGCTGTGTTTTTGTTACAAAAAGGAGCAAAACAAGCCAGCTTTTGTTTTGTTCGTGTTTAATGTTGCGTATTATTTAATCAACAATCATTGCTTTATTAATCGCATTTAATAATAAATTATAGAACGCGTTTGAATATGTTCACAGATAAGGTAACTGTAATTGTAGTTTTTTTACATTATTATATCACTGTACTATCTGAATTTTTCGAACGCACACACATGAGCACGAATTTTTTTGTTAAATGTTATTGCTATAAAAATTTGCGAGTAGAAGATGAGTTATTGAAACAACACCATCAATGTATTTCAATTTTTACATTACAAGTAATTACCCAATTATTTATTGAATGTTATCTCGATCATTATTGATTATATTGGGCGTTGACTCACTCTATAAGAACTCACTTTATCTCCTATACTTTCAAATAGCGATCCCTCAAAATAGCCCAAAATAAATTAGCCCAAACACAAACGAGCCTGAGATAAAACAGATCCAGTTAATTTAACAGCAAGCATAATATCGGGGCTTTCTACCTCTTGTCTTTGGGCTATTTTGTCCTTGGACTACTTTGCCTTTGGGCTATTCTGTCGTGGCAGTTTTGTCTTGGGCTATTTCGACGGGGTAACCCTTTCAAATCAAGCATCTGCTTTCCAGCGACTAAATCCATTGGTTTATTTGTAGAGTTTCCACGGTACGGCCGCCCTGGAGCAGTTGATCAGCTCGGACGAGGAAGAGGAAGATTTGACCCTGTCGCCGGACGAGTGTTTCAGCCCGCCGACGCCGAGCCCTTGCGAGATGAGCCCTTCGAGGGCCTCTTTGAGGCACAACCTGTGGGGGATTCGGCATTGAGCGTGGTCTCGCTGGACGCGATTAGAATTGAAAGGAATTTCGAAGCGATTTTTAGACGAATAGAACGTGTTAGAAGTAGCGAGACTCGGTTGAATCGAGACGTTACCGCGACGATAATAAGACTGGTGTTATTTATGTCCATGCTTGGTGAAAACGATTGTTTTCATCTAAGGCAAAAATTATTAGTATAGGCGAGGTTTAGTGTGTCGGGTGATGGGGTGTTTTGGTATGGCACTGTTAGCTTTGTTCATCCGATATTTAGATGTAAAATACCGTATGTTACAGAAATTGTGCAATTTATAATTTCAACGGAGTCTCGATAACTTTTAGTGCGAAATTTTAATGTAAATAATCGCATCTCTCATTTTTGATACTGTGTTGTTTTTAAATAGGTAATGTCTTTCATAATATCGTCCTTTTCTTCCTCTTTCGTCCTGTTTTCGACTGATTGCAATTTTTATTGTGATAAAGGTTTTCTTCGATTTATTTATTTTTGGGTAGGCTATTGTCCATTTAATTTCTACTCTACAGAAACCTTGTTAATTTCGAAACATTTACTAAACTAACGCAGCTCAACAGAACTACTTAAGTTAGTTTATTTATAAAAGACAACCCGCAAATTAATGATTAATCAAAAATTAAATTAATTTAACTGTGATAACTAATACACTAACACCAATATTGACTTTAAAAGATCATTTTGACTCGTTTTCTTTATAGCTGACTTAAAAAGCATTACCTACTTAATAAACTTTTTTGTTTCGTGCAAGCATATCATCACTCGAAGCTTTAAAAAAATCGGCAAAATATTTTCTTTACGTCCACGCAGTGCGGCAACTAAGATGGTGAATTCGAACAGTTTTTGTTGTACAATTCCTTATTATTAATGTTATCTATATATTTGTATCGTTCTATTTGAATTCTGGTTTTGCTCTCCACCATTTATATGTTGCTATTCTGCCTCATTTACGCTATTGATTGATTGTAATAGGAATTGAGGAGTGTTATGTAAGATATAATTGATTTTCGTATAACTAAATGTTAAAGGAAAATTCGTCCTGTAAAAATAATTTGTGGATTCTAAAGTTATACATTCGTACGATCTATTTTTGTTTGTATTAATTTAGCGTTAGGTGTTTATGATACAGGAAAATGTGATTTTTTATAATCTTGAGATTATTAAGGTTTTTATTGTCCTTATAAAATGTTTAGATTATGCTTTAAATATATTATTATAAAAATTGTTATTTAATACTGAAGTTATGTGTACAATCTTACAAGACACTATAAGCTATTTTTTTATTTAGTAGGTATTTGTGTTTTTTAAAATTGTTGTCTACCTGAAATATTATTTGTGTATTGCTCATGTTTAATTCAACTGCTTTATACATAATTACATTTAAGTGCTTTGTTTGTTTTATTTTTATTGAAATTTTATAATGCTTTTTATAATGCATAAAATCAAATTTGAAAAAATAAGATGAAGACTAAAAATTAACCTAATAACCTGAGTAACGTAGACCTTTTAACAAAAAGAAGATTTTTAAATTAACTCAACTGTCATCTGTCATTACTGTCAATGTCATTTTTTATATTGGAAAAATCGGCAAGTAAATGGTAATTGTTGAAAATTAAATCTTTTTTATATAATATAATTCATGTCGGGAAAAGATCCCTGTAAACCATTCGCTTGTAGAATCCAAGTTTGTTTAAGAGGTAAGTTAATTTCCATATAGTAATTTATAGCATTACATAACGTGTATTTTTAAGAGAACAACTTCCAGGAATCCAAATGCACGAGCGTCATTAATGATATGAAAGAGTGCTGTAGAAAGTGGAAGAACCTCAGTTACGTGTGTCAAGGAATGAACTTGGATACTGAAACAGACGATCAAAATGAACGACAGAGAAAATAAAATAAACTACAACATCGAAAACATAGCAACGAAAGCGGCTGCCACTAGAAGGAGAAGTTTCATATACAAATACCCGAAATTAATCTTTACGGTTATAACTGTGCCTTCTTTGCTCATATTTTTCTCGAAGCCCATATACGACTTTTGGTTTCAAGAACCGCTCGACTTCAATGAGCTTGTGCAAACGAAGAAATCGAAATTCGGCAAAAACTAAGCAGTAATGGATGCGGTTCAAAAGGCTAAACAAAGGTATAGGCAGTATCCTTTGTTATTGGCAAAGTGTGGTAAAGAGGCGTCTCACTATGCTACATGTGTATTGAAAAGGGACAATGTTAGTTTGAACGATTGCAAAAAGGAGTTCATGGACTTTAAGAGTTGCTTGCAGAAGGCGGCTAGTTCTCTGAAAACCAGGATTTAAACTCGGGGATAAAATGGGTTCTTATTGGGAAAAATTCGTGAATGTCGATTACAAAAAGCATTTGCTAGTTTCACTAGTTTTTAGATTATTGTTAATTAGTTATGGAAACTATCACGATCAATTATCCAAATTGAAATATACTGATATTGATTATAAGGTGTTTACTGATGCTTCAAGGCACTTACTTGAAGGTAATTCGCCGTATGATCGACACACTTATCGCTATAGTCCTTTAATTGCTATTATACTAATTCCTAATGTACTTTTCCATCCTAGTTTTGGAAAGGTATTATTCTGTTGTGTAGATATAGTTGTAGCCATTTTAATTCGATTAATCGTCAAAAACAATATTAAAGATTACGATATTTACAAGCAAAATGACTGCAAATTACCTAAAATCGAAGATAATGGGAAAAATAAAAGATTCAATAACAAAAACAGGAAAAAACAACGTCTCTCCAATAAAAAGAATCTACCATCAAACACAGAAAATCATTGTAAAAATTACACCGATTATTCATCTGATTTAGCCATGATCGTGTGGCTGTACAACCCAATGACTATAGCTATAGGTACTAGAGGGAATTGTGATACTATCGCAGGGTTTTTCGTCCTTTTCACCCTCTATCTATTGCAATGCAAGAGGTATTCTTTTACAGCCGGTATCATTCACGGGATTTCAATTCATTTTCGATTGTACCCCATCATATACAGCATCACGTTTTTCATGTTTTTGAGCAAGTACGCTTACTATACTACCGAAGATCGTAGAAAATTTAGAGTAATTTTCAATGCCATTAAAGCTAATGAAAATACGAATGTACTGAAAAATGTAGATAACACTTTAGTGCAAAAGGAACACAAACTAGTACTTCAAAGTACTAAAGAAAAAAAGACAATATTTAAAAAAGAATACCTCTTATATTTAGTGCCTAATTTTGAGCAGTTAAAGTTAGTTTTTGGTTGTATCGTATCCCTGTCAAGCTTGACTTTTGTATTTTACAATCTGTTTGGTTACAAGTTTTTGTACGAAACGTACATTTATCATTTCGTTCGTAAAGATCCCAAGCACAATTTTTCCCTGTACTTCTATTTGCAATACCTAACAGCCTGGGTTAAAAACATCGGCTACTGGCAGAAGGTGCTGATGGTCTTACCTCAGTTAGTTTTAATGTTAGTATTCTCGGCTAGGTACGGTTTAAATCGGTTTTCGTTGAATTTCGCTGTACTCACACAAACTATTGTATTCGTTATTTACAACAGCGTGTTAACATCGCAGTATTTCGTGTGGGTGATGGCAATATTGCCGGTGTGTTTGTGGCAAATTCAATTACGGAAAAAAATGGCGTTCCTGCTTCTTTGCATTTGGTACGTCGCTCAATTGGTCTGGCTGTTGCCGGCGTACTTATTGGAATTCCAAGGGCAAAATACGTTCATATTTATTTGGGTACAGGGCGTATCTTTTTTCTGTGCCAACGTCGCGATTTTAGGTAGATTGATCATGTACTTTAAACCGTGTAATAATAAAAGCGAGTAATTTTATCGTGCTAGTAAACAAAGATGTACATAAGTTTGTATTGAAAATAAACGTTTTAAAGGGCTCTTAGTTTAATTAAAAAAAATATTTGTAGTTGCGATAAGTCGTGTTTAACAATTTGTAATAATAAACTTCTCCCTCGGCTTCTTACGACATACTAAAAACAAACATATATAAGTTTTTGAAGTTGAAATGTGTATATATAAAAGTACCTTTCTATTAAACTCGCCCTCATATCTGAGGTTATGTTTGAAGGGGCAGCTTCGTTTAGTCTGAATACGGATTCGATAACGGTCATTTCTGTGGAAGTTGTGTCCATGCCAGCGAAAGCACACCAATCGTTCACGACTAAACCTGCTCCTACTACTTCGCTTCCTCTGTTAACTGTACCAGCCTGTTAAACAAATTGGTTATAAATAAGCGAGTTATTGTGGAATTAATTTTTATCTTACCACTAAAGGCACTTGCAGTAAAGAAGACAATTCATCTTGATCGACGATGCTCGTGTTGGGATGCACTAAACCCCCTTGATTACTAAGAACACAGTAGGATCCCACTAAAACGTTACTAGCTATCGTTTGCCTAAACACCTCTACTTTAAGAGTATCTGCAATTATTTCTTCAGTTTCCTGCAATCAATCAACGCATTATAAAGTACGTGAGAGTTATACATTTAAATATACCCTGTCTAAATCTGGGTGAACCAATGCAACGTAATCGTTACAAGCTATAACATTCCCAAGAGCCGATAGCCTTTCCTCGACTCTTTGCACTCTTATTTTGTCCGGTAAAGCGTTTTTAATGTGTTGGAGTTCTGTGTCTAACGTTGAATTGGGTACTAATAAACCGTTTTTGTTTCCGACACACATCCGCCCTATAATTCTCAATCCTGCTAGAGATGTGTGCACCACAGGAATCGTTTCGCCCAATTCTCCTTCGAATATACTGAAAATAAGGGATGAATAAACGTACAAAATTCACAATTCTAAAGCGTGTTGTTATAACATTGTGCAACATTTCAAATGTACCTGTAGAAATTTTCTGAACCGCCGATTCCGACAAGACAATAAGAATTGGTTAGTTTGGCGAATACGCCGATTTCGTTGTTGTTTTCAAATTGGGCACGCAAAGCCATTTTCGCACTAATTCAAATAACAAACGAGAATTTGTGTAAAATTTCTACAACCACACCAAAACACGTTCTTTTTCACAAAAAAAAGACGAATACTTCAGTCTTCTTTTTATATAAAAATTCAAGTTTTATTCAGCCAGTATCCATTCTTCTTTCTACAATAACTGAGCATAAATAAATGACGTATTTTGACACATGACACTCTTGACGTTAACAACACCACAACACCTGATTCGTCAAATCAGTCGAATTACGAATATTTAAGATCATTAGAAAACTATTAAAATTATTAAATTGGAAAACAGTTCGCCGATAAAATTAATCCTAATATAATTCGCTCTTAAAAAACATTCCTCGCTGGTTGGAGTCAACGTCGTATAAAATGGTAATTATCCCAGAAATTCACTCGATCAAAAACAAAAGTTACATTGCAGTGAACTAAAGATTGATAAATTTCGAGCGCCTAATGAAGTATCTTTTTTGCAGTTCGAAGAGTGAGTATGGAAACTTTTCCGCTTAGAAGGTCTGCAAATACATCACCCGAGTCTCCTACATATCAGTCAATGACCAAAAAGGTTTGTTATTACGCTTACATATGTTTCGCAATTTAATTATACAGACACCTCGAACGAATTAAATGATAGTCGAAAATAGATCTCTCGTACATTAACGCTTGATTAATTCAATTAAACCCCGATAAGGTAGCATTGAATGTATTCAAGTCCAGCTCTTACTTATTAATTGTTTGTCTAACGGATGTTACCTTTCGAGTGTGCTTTTTCGAGGATTTTTGATATATAAATACATATTTCTTGTTCTGCAGATATTCCTAACTTCTTAAACTGAAAATTGATTCCATAAATCAATTCCATTAAAGTGAAATAGGCTTATTTAATAAAAATAATTCTATCCAATTGTCAACTTATCCCTCCATATAGTCTTATTGCTACAAAATATACCGCCTGCGAAATATATTATGTTTCCATAGGTTGTTTGTTGTGATATGATATTCTGATTAAAAATATTTTCTACATTACTCCGCTATCTAAATGTACCTGAATATTTTATTATTCTATATTATATAAAATCCATGTAGAATTTTACTATTACTCTATCAATGAAAACGGCGCTACGCATGACCTTGTTCATTCATAACTCCTGAGGGTTTAACATTTTTTTTTGGGTTAATTCGCTGCGTGGTAGCGACACGGTATCACATTCGTTTTTTATCATTCGAAATAATAGCAGGCTTATTTAGACTAATCTAAATTATTTTCAAACAAATACTTATTACTGTAACAATTTAATGTCGCAATGGCGATAAACTGATAAGCATTTAAAGAATTAGCAAAGTTTATGTAGTCTAAAACAAAACGTTGTCTATCTATTCTTTTGCTAACTGGCAAATGGAATATGTTTTGATAACAATAAGGCCGTGCTGTTTGTAAACAACAGATTACCTAATTTTATATGCTGGTATGTTCAAATATTTATTATTTATTGTTCCAATTATTAATTGTGCAAAATTTATGTCCTATCCCCTCGTGGACTAAAACCCCTCATTATCCATTATTCCCTGTGACCGATATCTGCCGTATATCGATTCGCTTCTGCGCGCATGCCGTTCATCTTTATCTACACGTACATACGAAACAATCGGCTGTACGTCGCCCCGTTTCCTGCTGGGAAAATTCGAATTTTCCGCTATAAACCACCGATCCACCGGCGATCTTTCTAACAATGTAATTTAATTTGTTTGCGGCATCGGTAGAACACAAACAACGGCAGCAGAGCGACATTCGTGTCCTCGCCAGATGAAGACATGATTGATATACAGACATCGCGACCCGCGGGGGGCGGAGACCTCCACCGCACCACAAGACTTGGGGACGACGAGGACGATGGCATAACGCATTGTAAGAGCTATTTTATTGGCAATTTTTAGTAGGTAATTCGATATCTGTTGTTGTAGATTCGGTCGCTTACTCCGGAACGCAAGGTGAGTCAAACAAAGGGATATTCGTATGATGTTTTTATCGAAAATGTTCTTGTAGAATCTGGGGATATTCCTGGCATCGGTCAATATGACGATTTCCACACCATCGATTGGCAAAGGGATATTGCAAGGGACCGTATGCGACACAGGTATTTCTTACAGTTCAGCGAAAATATCTGGAGACGTTAGAGTCACCAAGATCTCCTTCTATCCGTACCGCGCTGTAGGTACCTAATTTGCATTACTTTACAGATATATTGTGAAGAAGAAGCAGGACTCCTTGTGGAATCTAATAGAAGGCGCCCACGACGCCTGGTCGGGTTGGTTGTGCGTGCTATTGGTGGGTTTGTTCACAGGGGCTATTGCTGGTGTGATCGACATCGGCGCCAGTTGGATGACGGATTTGAAATTCGGCATTTGCCCGCAGGCCTTCTGGTTGAACCAAGAACAGTGCTGCTGGTCGTCGAATGAAACCAGCTTCGAAGGTGGCAACTGCTCTCAGGTACTGATGTTTTCTGGATGGTTTCATTTTAATGTATTTCGATTTGTTATTTGTTTTAGTGGGTGACTTGGCCTCAGTTGTTGGGACATTCGCGAACGGGAGCCGGAGCGTACGTAATCTCGTATTTGTTTTACATTATTTGGGCTCTGTTATTCGCTGCTCTCTCCGCATCGTTAGTGCGGATGTTCGCGCCTTACGCTTGCGGTTCCGGTATTCCCGAAGTAAGTGCTTTATATACAAAACGATTGCCTTAATCTATTGATCGTATATTGCAGATTAAAACGATTCTGAGCGGTTTTATCATACGAGGATACCTCGGCAAATGGACGTTGATCATCAAATGCGTCGGTTTGATACTATCGGTTTCGGCCGGGTTGAGTTTGGGCAAGGAGGGGCCGATGGTGCACATAGCGTGCGCTATCGGTAACATTTTATCGTACTTGTTCCCCAAATACGGGCGGAACGAGGCTAAGAAAAGGGAGATTTTATCGGCGTCCGCCGCCGCCGGGGTGTCCGTGGCCTTCGGGGCTCCGATCGGCGGGGTACTCTTCAGTCTCGAAGAGGTCAGTTTGGAATTTTACCATCTCGAATCGCTAATAATTAACGGTTGATTATAGGTTAGTTATTACTTTCCGCTGAAGACGTTGTGGAGGTCGTTTTTCTGCGCTTTGATAGCGGCTTTCATACTGAGATCGATAAATCCGTTCGGTAACGAGCATTCGGTGTTGTTCTTCGTTGAATACAACAAACCTTGGATATTTTTCGAATTGATACCATTCATTGGTTTAGGAATTATAGGGGTTTGTTAACAACCTACTGTAATAAAATTAGATGTAATATCGTATTGTTTCAGGGTTTAATTGCGACTGTATTCATCAAGGCTAATTTATATTGGTGCAAGTACAGGAAATCCTCGAAATTGGGACAGTATCCCGTAACAGAAGTGCTCGTCGTTACCGTCGTCACGGCCCTAATAGCTTACCCGAATCCCTACACGAGAATGAACACCAGCCAGCTGATTTACCTCTTGTTCAGCCAATGCGGCATCTCGAATTCCGACGATATGTGCGATTACAAGCGCAACTTCACCACCGTGAAACCGGTGATCGAATTCGCTCCAGCAGGACCCGGCGTACACCGAGCCGTCTGGCTGCTCATCTTAGCTCTGATCCTCAAATTAATCATGACTATATTCACTTTCGGCATGAAAGTCCCTTGCGGTCTGTTCATACCTTCGTTGTGTTTGGGGGCCATCGTCGGACGCATCGTTGGAATCGGTGAGTTGATTAGTAATGATATAAGTGGTCTCGAGTGTATAAGATAACCGGTGATTTTAGGTATGGAAACGCTGGCTTTCCACTATCCGCAGATTTGGCTATTCAGCGGCGAATGCTCGACGGCGGACGATTGCATCACGCCCGGTTTGTACGCCATGGTGGGGGCGGCGGCGGTCTTGGGCGGCGTCACGCGCATGACGGTATCCTTGGTGGTGATAATGTTCGAATTAACAGGCGGCGTGAGGTATATTGTACCTCTAATGGCGGCGGCTATGGCTAGCAAATGGGTGGGAGACGCCTTAGGCAGACAGGGCATCTACGACGCTCACATAGCTCTAAACGGATATCCGTTTTTAGACTCCAAAGACGAATTCCAGCACACCTCGCTGGCGGCCGATGTCATGCAACCCAAGTACATCAACCGTCTCAAACTCGATTATATAAATTGATTAAATCGTGATTGTAGGAGGAACGAAACGTTGAGCGTCCTCACGCAGGATTCGATGACCGTGGACGACGTGGAGCAGTTGCTGAAGGAGACCGAGCACAACGGCTATCCGGTGGTGGTGTCGCGGGAGTCGCAGTACCTCGTCGGGTTCGTCGTCCGGAGGGATTTGAATTTGGCCATCGCGAACGCCAGGAGGATGGTGGACGGCATCTGCGGCCAGTCGTTGGTGTTGTTTACCGCCGGCAACGCGCCCCAAACGCTCGGCCCGCCGCCGTTGAAGTTGAAGAAGATTTTAGACATGGCTCCGATCACCATCACCGATCAGACGCCCATGGAGACTGTTGTAGATATGTTTAGGAAATTAGGGTTAAGGCAGACGCTTGTCACGCATAACGGGTAAGTCGAAACACTATTCATTTATTCCAGCAGGTTATATCTATTTCGTACAATAGTAATCCTACAGAGGTTATCCAACATTTGTACTAATGCAAATTTTACAATAAAATCGTGGCAAAATCATGGTGATTGGTAAAATGGCTGTTCGATAAACAAATGTGACCTTTTTTTCTTCTTCTTCATTCGAATTCGTGGCGATAATTGTTGAGATAATTTTTCGTCTGACCCGTTTGACGGTTCATCGGGTAATTTTTAAACAAATAAATAATCTTATCTGGATTGCCAGGAAAATAATGAGGCATGGACGTGCTGCATCTGACCCACTGGCGGCCTCGAGGCTGCTCGGCACGGTTTATCGCACATTATATAATTTTGAAGAGCAAAGTTTATTATAGCCTTTATTCGTAGTACGAGTAGTAGTAAATTTATAACGTTTCATTAATTGTTAATTATGGAGGTTTGTTTTGCGATTTTCAGGCGATTGTTAGGAGTGATAACGAAGAAAGACGTCCTACGGCATATTAAGCAGATGGATAACGAAGATCCCAATTCGGTCCTTTTTAATTAAGTTTTAAGCCAATATTTCCCTCGTGTAAATTTTAATGCTCGATTGCGCGTAATGGTTTTCCTCTCGAAAGATATACACGGGATTGATAATTACGGTTTTATTATGCTTATTAATTTTTATTTATATTATTTTATTTTATTCGTCCATTTTAGATCGGTAAATTTTAATTTGAATATTTTGTAGTAATTCCTCGTGGAAATTGAGTGAAAAAGAATATGGTGTAATCGAGTATACAATACATATTTTTAAGATTGAATTGTCTCATTGTGTTGCATATACTATTTATTAATTAATTTTTTTAATAACGTTAGTGTAACGTGCAAGTGTCTTCCCATACAATATAAAAAAATCATGATCACATTTTTGTTCTAACAAGAGATTATTTTTGTTTATAAACGATGAAAAAAGTAACGATACTTTGCATATATGTATATTTATGTTATGTGGTTTATTAATGCTCAGAATAATATATGATAATGTAATAAAATTGATTTTTACAAATTATTAGCGTGTCTACCTAAGTCTAATTTATTATCACCATCTTATTTATACCTACTGTTCATTGTGGGCTGGTAAGTAGGTACGTTTTTTGGCGATTATTTAAATAAATATAAAGCCAGAAATAAACTAGATCTTGGATTGAAGCCAAATGACTTGATCCAAAACGAAAATGTTTGACTCATAAAAATGATTAATAGGCACTTATTTATATTTGACATTTGTACTTGTCATTTTTAACCTTTGCACCAATCAAGTAGTAGGTCTTTATGACAAAATGTCAAATTTAATCTTGACGTATGTCAAAATTTCAACATCACTTATAATATTCAGTTTTATCTCCAGAAAGGATTGTAAGTATTTTTATTAACTTTTTACGCTACTATGCATAAATTCTTAATACTGCTTAGTACAAGTTTTTGCGATAATTTGTACATAATCCACTAAATAATTCATTAAACTGGATCTCATGGGGTATTCAAAACGCTTCTCAATTTATCGCCCAATTTTTATGACCTCTACATCCTCGGCATAAATTAAGAAAATCCTTTTTGTTTATGCAAGCCGAAAAAAGATTGGCAACTGATCAAACCCATTTTATTGAACTTGAATCTAAAAATATCTAGTCTACATAGCTTTACTCATCGATAACCTATTAATGATACTACATGTGCGAATTTTTTATCACTACTCAGAATGCCAGAAAATACAATGTTGGTGAAATTATAACGAATAATTGGTGGATTTCTTGTAAAGCACTTCGATTATAAACACCAAAAAAGCCAACATTTCTCCCATGAAAAGCGAATAGAAAGGGAGCCGAAAATGGCGCAATTTCAAAGCTTCCTCGGATGTTGTGACTTTAAATTTGAACGGGTTTGCTGTACTTTCAGTAAATCCGAATTGCTCGATTGCTAGAAGGGCCTTGCTGAATTGCGAACGAAACGGGGAGTTTTTCTGCAGATAGTACACCCCTACGCTCGATAGTAAGGGCTCTTTGATAGCCGTATACAAGGGATTCCCATACTCGTCCCTTAACTTGTTGCAGTAATAACTAACCGCATCTTTTCTTAAGACGTAAGCATAATTAGGAGAAGATCGCTCTAAAATATTTTCTATATTTAGAGGGGACATTGGCACAAATTTATCCCACAAACCCGATGACTTAATGAAAGAAGTTTTAACTAAATCTTGGGATACATACAAAACAATGTTGCTGGTTTTCAATTCTTCCAACGTACTAATCGGTTTTTCGTATCTGGTAATAAGAAAATGACTTAACAAGGATGTCCCTAAATTACACGAAATTATCGTGAAACTAAAAAACAATATCACAATGAGAATCCTAAATTTCGTTTGGAATATTTTCAAATTCGCCACGGGTTTGGAGTAAACAATGCCCCACAAAACCAGAACATACAGCGAAAACTCTACTTGGACGTTATTGTTGAAACTAAAAAGCAGCAAAAGTGTAGCCAGTAACGCTAAGGTTGCATAGAAGATAATAAAATGGTCGAAAAAGTTCAAAGAATGTACAACTTTCTTCGGTAGCGGAACAATCACGGATTTGTAGTCCAAACTGAACGGGTAAGACGATGTAGTATTACTAGAATAATGTGCCTAAAATAACAGTAGGTAATAGTAAAATTAATATAAGATACAAATAACGAACCTTGAATATTCGCACCATGATAACATCGGCTAAATTCGCAGTCAAATTATCGAAACCCTCGTGTATAGTGCTCGATTTAGTTCCTATGGTGGTATAACGGGCGTTTATAACCGCTGCAATGTGCTCCAGATTTTTTATATCAAACCCTGACCATTTTCCATTGGTAAAAATTGTCATGGGTCTCCTCTCAAACACGAATGCCCTGAAAGGAGCTCCATTGAGGTTCTTTGTCTAAAAACCACAATATTTAGCATCTGTTTAAACCTAAGGTAATCTTACTTTATCCTCGAAGAGTTTCTGGCAGGATTTTCCGAACTGTTCAATTCTGTAGAATTTCCTTTTATCAAAAGGATAGTACGTGTAAACCTCCAATTGCACCTGCACGAAGACTACAATAAATTTCGATATATTTTTCGACCATATGTACGGTAGCAGGGTTTCCAAAAATCGTTTATTCTCGACTCTTTCGGTGATAAAGAAGGCGATTTCGACTTCACTGTTATAGTGAGGATTGACCGAAATCTCATCTGCTAGTCGATATATTTCGTCCGTTTTATTACCAAAGATGTACATTTTGAGGACTTTGAACGAACCGTTGAATCGATCCCTAAGAAACGGCACGCAAGTATTTTGAGAGATAATCCTGTCGATAACATCTCTAATTCCATCTGGATAGTTTTTATCGAAATAGCAAGTTGTGGGGGTTTGTTTGCATCTCGCTAGTTTGTCGAAAAACTTATAAAACTGCTTGTGCAATTCGTGCTGGTTATTGGACAGTATATGTACCTGATTTGGTACTGTTGGAACGGCGAATAAAATTAGTATAAAATATTTTACCAACATTATCCAGCTTGTTCAACTTCAGTAATGGTTCGAACGTATGGTGCGTTAATTTTCTCTACACGGTAGAATAATCGAAATAATACATATTCGATATTTAATTTATTAATCAATAAAAAAAGAAATAAGCCTGCTTGTTTCATGGTTGGTTTCCTGCTGTAATGTTGTTTTTCTTTATTACTAATTAATTTATAGTGCAGCAATGTGTGTATTAGTAATAAAATTAGCTTATTACAGGTAAAATTTTAGAATATTAACATTTTTTAAGAGTAAAATAAAGCAATTACATAAACCAGTAATATGACCTTTCGAACCACAATTAGTTCAATCTTCGATAAGCAATCAAAGAGACAATGCTTTGTTGAGTAAACTATTGCCCAATGCAGCACGCACTATACTACAGACAGTTCTCATAGTAATTGTGCAAGATCGGTTGGAACTTCCAATGCTTCCAGCCGATCAAGTCCAATTCACGATCGAATCATCGATATAAGTACTATGGTATTCGTTGAACTTTAAACTGGGTATTTTTGTCAATTTTTTGGTTATCTTTTTCTTGGGAACCGAATCTCTACACACAGGAAACTTGGCAGAAAACGTTTGAATAATCTCTAAGTGTAAACAAAATTTGACCTCCCTTCCAGCGATGGATCAAAGAACTACTGATATGAAGTCGATGCCGAATCGATTGCACTCGAGAAATTTAATATTATTAATTAGATCACTTGCTGTTGATACTAAATTAATTCGGATAAATGCCTATAGTATTGGAAAAGAGATCTACAGGCTTTAAACAATAAAGTTAGTATTTATCTTAACTTCTATTGCAAATTTTAGAAAGATAATTAAATGCCTTAGAAAAAGTTACGAGTGCAGATTTTAATTTACCCAGAGAAGGCGTGTAGATAACGCAGTGGCACATACTTAAAAAAATGTTTCTTTATCATAACACGATGATATAGCGGTCATTGCCTATAGAGATTTTCTACCATCCAGACATCAAGCGGTTTTAGAAAACTGAAAAGGGATGTTTTAATAATGAGTCCATTACGCTTAAATTACGGTGGGTTTTTTGGTGTGAATTATTAGTGAAGTTAAATTAGTGTTTTACTGTGATGTTGGTAAGTTAAATTTTATCTATATTAATTATTATTTTATTATTATTTACCTACATATGCAAAAAGCTAATTGAAATGTGACTGTAGTTAATTTACATACGTCTTTAACAACAACTTAATCTATTGTAATTAAAATTTTCTATAATTAGCGTCTAATAAAAGTAACAAAAAAAATCACCTAGTAAATATTTACCGGTTAGAAAATCGTTCTGTTTTTAATATTACTAATTTATTACTGGCTTAATCTAAAAATAAACTTTCAAATCGACACAATAAAACATCGGAACCTTCGATTTCGATATACAAGCACGTTTCCCGAAGATTTCCCATTCTCACCGCGAATTGTTCATACATATTCACAACCGCGCCTGTTGAATTATTTTTTGTCGCCTTGGACATCTCAAATTCGATTAGCCGCGTTTGTTCCTTCCTAGGAAAGAGAGGATTTTTAACCGGAACACATTCGTTCGCCTGAAGATTTCTTTCGCGCCAACGAAAACCCGACCCAGAGGTCAGCCGGTAAAAGAACAACTTCCTGCAAGCGATTAATAAAAATTAAGCACACACACACACAACGTAACCGAGAAATAATTACGAAAAACCAATTTGGCTTTTATTTGCCAGAGAATAACTAGGCAGTTGTATTTCTAATTAATAGGTTATAGGTTTCGGAAAATTTCCAATTTCAGGTTTATTATAAATTATTTTTGATATTCAAAGGAATGCACAAATCCACCTACAAATTCTTTTAAAAAAATTCAAAATACAATTAGTTATAATTGCACTTAATTATAATCTTATAATCAATGTGATTAATTACCTATATTTAATTTTTAATTAAAGTTATAGTGCAAAGTTTCATGAAGTATTCGTTTTAATTCCACGATAGCATAGGATTTTAAATATCCTATCTTTACTCTACCGTATCTAATAAGAAAATTCAGTATAGAGCTTCTGTGGCCATTAAAATACAATTAATACATTTGGAGATTAAATTACTTGTATAATTATCGTGAAAAAAATATTTAAATGCAAAGCGCTGGACTTATTAATAAATATTTAGCAGGAATATATAATTTGAGACTACAATAAAATGAACTTGCAAAAATAATCGAATGAATAACCATTGATTGGGTGATTTAAATTTAATATAATTTTCCGAGTCCGATTCTGTAGTAGGTAATGGTAAGCGCGCCGGGGTTGCAGTTTTTAGGATAAAAAGCAAATGATAGGCTCGAGCGCTTCCAGTCCGGCTCGGTACAATTCCAAATGCACATTTTTTCGTATTTAACACCTGAGTTGTAAGTTCTATAAGACTCCCTACGCGATTGGAATCGTTATTTAGCATAAAAACAGACAATTCGTTTCGAAGCGAACGGAAAGCGATCAGTGGAAGTATTCTGGTTCGTCTAAGCACAACCAAGCGGGAGCAAGAAAGTATATTTTTGTGAGCGGGAATTGATTTTTGCCGGCGAGAGGATGGAGGATAATACTATAAATTTGATGAATTTTCGAGAGAAAATGGCCCTGGCCGAGGCGTTGTCGAAAATTAATCTGGCCGCGACGCCGAAGACGAGGAAAAAATTGGTGAAGAAAAACCCGCAGCCGAAATTTGGGTTTTACGATGAGGATTCGGGCGAGTTTGTGCCGCCCAAGCAACTGCTTATGCTGTTAGTGAGGTAAATTTAAAATTTTTGGTAATGAAAAACGAAATAAATTAAATCGTACGTTTTGTGCAAATAAAATTGCGGATTTTTAATAAATTAAGTAAATATGAGGATTCGCCAAATGTTCAATGAAAACCAATTCCAATTTATAAATCTTGAGATTATTTGCAAACGTTTATAATTTATGTAATTTAACACACTCGTTTCAATTCGGGTTATTTCATAATCTGCTCAAATTAATTACATACATACATTTGTATTATTAAGTTATCAAATAATTTTTACTCTGAATTACTAATTAATTTTATCCATCTTTATCATGCACTTACTCGGTTTTGTAATATCAATCAGGCGCACTTTTTGCGTTGTAAGATTCCCCTAGAGATTCCCAACCGCAAATTAAGCAAAAATTATGGATTTTTTAAGATAAGAAATTATTTTTAAACCTCCAACTAATAAAGCATTCAAATCAAATTTGATAACACATATTTTTGACCTCGAATAATCGTATTATTAAAATCAAGGTAACAATAATAAACTGTTACCTCAAACCACTTCAAATCGTTATGATAGAGCTATCTATCTAATAATGATTTATAGTTCATCAGTTAGGATATAGATTCCCGCATTTATTGGAACCAACTACTTCCACGTAGCTTTCTTTAGAACTTCATTTCGAAATGAAGAACTATTTTTAAGCGACACACATTCGAGTTAATCAAAACAAACAAACGTTTACGCGATTTCCGTGTTCACGAAAACATCCAGAACTGTTTGTAAACAAGATACACTCGAAAATTCGTTAGGGTAGAAGGCACTATTATAAAGTGTTTACAACCGTGAGAAAATTTATTTCAATGGGTAATTAAGTTAATATTTTTTTGTAGTAATAAAACGCTTAAATTATATACTATGCATAAATGTACATAACTTGTTGTTTTGGTAGGAATTATTTAGTTCTGTAAATTCTGTGATAATCCAATTATACATGCGAATAATTCCAGGCGCGCGAAAATTATTGGAAACAAAACTACTGCCAATAACCTGCTGGTAATAAATAAATAATAAGTCTTATACCACATTCACTACAACCTACATATTTATATGCCATGCCGGATTATCTCATTTTCACGACGAAAACAAACCGGTCGGTTATTTCCAATTCTATTAATAAATCGTTTAAAAAATTCGACAAGGTGACAACAAACAATATACGCAGTTTAGTTCATGAACGATTTTCGATGTTACAACGTTTCCCACGAACCTACTCCGCTACAGTCACGTTTCTCGCTATAAAAATCAGCTAAAAATTTTAATCAGTTTTTTCATCCTTTACATTAGCGTATTGTAATGAACCAGTCGACAAGACAGTGCCTCAGAAGTGCCGAAATTCGTCTTATCATTATTGCGTGCGGACAGCAAAATTGCAAAGTAAGGACTTAGCAGTGATTTCGAGCGCGTTAAACCAGTGAAATAATACAGTGATCGTGTTGCAATTGCTAACGAAAATGACCACAAGAAACATGATCAGGGCTGTCAGGAGGTTCAGTCGCTTGAATATTCTGCCAAGGTAAGAAAAGGAAAACGGAAGTCGACGTTTCGATTACCTTTAACTTGACCTTTTATGTCGTTTTGTCCGGTCAAACAGGTAGACATCACTCAGTGTCAAGTCAACTTATAAACGGAGCGTTCAATGCGCTATATGCATGTAACGGGTATATTTTAGTTAGAATTCGATAAAGCATTCTAAAAACACAGGTAATTTATATATGAAACATTATATAATTATGTGGTAATGGTTTTTTTTAACAAGAATTTAAGCATACCCAGACAAACATGCGCTCGTTTGTATGATGCTTGGTTTCGTAAAAATTTAAACTTTTTAACAGGTGTCTATCGCAATCATTTCCATTGCTTTCAAATTTACAAACTTTATCATTATAATAGATTAAAAATTACATGAATTTTTTTAACATTATTATACTCTGTTCGCCCACAGGAAATAGTTATAATTTATACGCAAAAGAGAACATATGGAGTGACTCGACTAAAAAATTATAAATAATCCAAAACTTTAAGCAACCATTGTGTAGTAGTAGTTTATTTTACTTTAGTAATGCCACTCTGTATCTGTATACAGGGTATTTAAAAATAGGCGACCCTCTTCTAATCCCAAATAAAGTGACCTCAACACAGTACACACGTGCTTCTGTGACATTAAATAGACACTAAAAAGGTTATAATAAAATTAAAAATTACTTACAATAATATTGATATCTGAATCAATATTGTATACTAGCGGTAGATACAATTATTAGAAATAATTGTTAGTTATTTATCAAATTATTAAATCAATACTGCCTATACTTTTTAATTATTTGTTGGATTTACTGTTTCAAGAAGGATTTAGAGCGAATAACAGAGTATAGTCAAAATCAAAAAATAATAAACATTGGTATCACAAGTGATAAAATAAAGAGATCACAAATCTTTCATATGCTCCTGAAATCAATTTAATTCCAAAGATAAACGAGTCTACTTCACGACCTTAGCGACAAATCGACAAATGAGGAAAACGTTTGTTGTTAACAAATAGTTTAACGTACGAAATGATCGTGCCATCTAATTCAAACAACGAATGCAAATAATTCTAACACGAGTCGCGATATACGGACGTCAAACAAGCTCCATTGTTTCTGTTGCTATTCCTGCTGGCGACAGCTTGTTGTATCGATAATTTTTCTCGTTTAAAAATAGTTTTTCCTGCCGACGGCGGTCGTTTGGTTTGTGCATAATAGTCGCAATTGTCTAATTGTTTCCCAATAAATTAGAAATGATTGCGTGCGAAAGTTACGAGGAAAATAGAGCATTAATGCAAAAGTGCATATACGATAGCGAGGAAAAGCACATACGAGCTATTAAGAAATGGATAATTAAATCGAAACTTAAGTAAGTGTGATGATAATGCGAGTAATGCAATTACTTAATTCTGCATGGTTTATCTAGTTTCCCCATCATCTTACAATTCTTCGAGTAAGTTTCTTCATTGTTTACATTGTGTTACAATTCTCGTATCACCTTAAGTTTGCGAATGACACATTTTTATTATTTAGCAATTCTTCTTAAACTCGTTACTAATCGTTATCATCTTCCAGTTATTTGGAATATGTAATTTTATTTCTACATATTTAATCGTACACAAATCCTACTTAAAATTAGTATAAATAATAACAAATTTGTAGATATCAGAATTTAAACATATTGTTTACCTAATAGTGTAATGACTAATTTAAAAGTTAACTGGTTGAAAAAAATATTTTTATTTTTTAATCGACTTATTTACTGGTAAATGTTAATTGAGATACCGCGAAGAAAAATCGCTAGCCTGTGACCTTTTCCTCGCTGTAAATATTTCTAAGGAAACCAGACCACATTATGTTGCAAATAAGCAAGATAATGATCAGGATTTTTCTTAAATTATTTATAAATTCGTGTCTTTTCTGCGTATTTTGATAAGCATCGATAAGAAATCTTGGAAAAATACCATGTCGCATATATTTCTAACAAACACGTAGTTTGTTAGAATTGCTCCCCGATAATTCAAAATTAAAAAGAAGGTAGTAGCACAAAAATATTTCAAAACCGATCCTGTCGAATCATTGAAACTACTATCATTAAGGACAAATGACAAATTAACGACCTTATTGAACTATTTTCAATGTTTCTTCGAATTTACTTAACGTCTTTACATGTTTATGTCTTGCCGTTGTTCCAGAATGGGCAGCTTTTCATCGACCCCGCGAATCCTGAACGCGGATATCCTAGATCGAGACATCGATCTTCCGAAGAACGTGAGCCGAATGGAGTTGATCCAGCATTGCCAACGACAGCCGAAGATCCATCCCATGGTCAAGCGCACCTTCCGGAAGGCCAGGTCGCTATCTGACTTGGAATGCGGCGTGAAAGTCAGGAAATTGAACGGCGTATCCAGAGGTAAAACTAATTATAATTACTAAAGAATGTACTCAAGCTCCATGTTTTAGCTTGCGGTGAATACGTGACTGGTCCTAATAACGTAAGAATTTTGCAGTGGAATATTTTATCGCAGGGTAAGTGCACGTTTATTGCGTGTGAGTATTTTCTTATAGCTTTATCGAATTTTAGCGTTGGGTCAGATGAACGATAACTTTTCCAAATGTCCCGACGAAGCTCTGGAATGGAACCACAGAAGGTACTTAATTATCGAGGAATTGGTGGAGTACTGCCCAGATATTATATGCTTACAGGTATAAATCAAAAGTTAGAGTTAAAATCGCATTATTTCGCAATATTTGCCTTATAGGAAGTGGACCATTTCAATTTTCTAAGCCACATTCTGGAAACCCAAGGTTATACTGGATTATTTTTCCCGAAACCAGATTCACCTTGCATATACATAGACGGAAATAACGGACCGGATGGATGCGCCATATTTTACAGAAAAGACAAATTCGATTTGGTAAATGTGGAGACCAAAATCTTGGAAATATGGAAAGTTCAAAGCAACCAGGTATAATATATTTTGATAGTCTAGAGAGGCAATGTAAACTAATTTTTTTGAAATTTTAGGTAGCTATACTTTCGATTTTGAAGATGAAGGAAACCGGTCAAGAAATTTGCGTTACCACAACTCACCTTAAAGCCAAAAATGGGGCTCTGTTATCGACGCTCCGCAACGAACAAGGCAAGGACCTGCTGCAGTTCGTCCGCGCTCATTCCAGAGGTTTGCCTCTAATTATAGCAGGGGATTTCAACGCGGAACCGGTGGAACCGATTTATAACACTATATTGGATAATGCATTGGGATTGGGTAGTGCTTACGCGGACTGTGATACTAATTTTAGTTTGAAATCGGCGGATAGGGAGCCGACTTATACGACGTGGAAAATAAGGGGCGAAGGAGAAGTTTGCCATACGATAGATTACGTTTTCTATTCCAAAAATCAGTTGGAATTGGAAGGCGTTTTGGAGTTACCAACCGGAGAGGAAATAGGCGAGAATCGGGTGCCCAGCATGGCGTATCCTTCCGATCATTTTTCGTTAGTTTGCGACTTCAAAATTGGAAATAGTTAATAGATGTATTTTTTTTATTTATTCAGTTGTTATTGTTTAGTTATTCTTTTAGGATATATATTTTATATTAAAATTTTATTAAAGTGTAATTTTTAGATTTTATACAATATTTGTTAACTGCTTAAGGGATTAAAAGTATTGTTGATGTTTTAATAATTAAAATAGTAAAAATAGTTGTATTTTTTATGCACACGTTTCGTCGCCGAATATTCCTTTCATTTTGACAAATTATTATTGATTAATTAGTTACTGAAAAGTAAAAGGCCACTACAGGACCAAAAAAAGTAGAAGTGCGTTCCGAAATTTTGACGTTTGTATATTATTTTTTAATTTACTCTACAACCTTCAATACTAGGCTTTTACTAAGAATAATTTCACTGTAAAAAAAAGTTAATTTATATTTTTTAACACGATATATTTAAAAAAAGCAGTGGACAATGAACCGTGAATCACCGTTAGAAATGATTCATTTGTCAGCATATATGACGTGACGTGACACCTCAATTGTCAAACGAAAACCCAACCTAAACATGGCGTCGGACGGTGAAGAAGTGATAAGTGATCAAGAAAAAGTAAAAATAGTTTCGGATTTCATTCTCCATTCGCCGCCCGGGGAATTCAACGAAGTCTTCAATGATGTAAGGAAGCTTTTAAATAACGATGACCTTCTAAAAGAAGGAGTAACCGGGGCGTTCGCCCAATACAATAAAGACCAACTCACCCCCGTTAGGATAGAAAACGCCGATCAAATGGTGCTGATTACAGAATACAACGATTTAGGTAACAATAGATTCTTCGACCCCCGTAGTAAGCAAAGTTTCAAATATGAACATTTAAGAAAGGAAGCTTCTGATTACCAGCCTTATAGTCTCGATACGACGGCGGAGCCTTGGCGGGCCGCCCTAGATAACGAGTTTATACAATACACAAGAAACCATTATAAAGACGGCGTTTGTAGCGTATTCGGTCGCAGTCAAAACGGTGCGATCACCCTTACAGCTTGCATCGAAGACCACCAATTTCAACCCAAGAACTTTTGGAACGGTCGATGGAGATCCCAATGGTCTGTTAGTTTAACCGATGAATCCACCGCAGAAGTACGGGGCGTCCTCAAAGTGCAAGTGCATTATTACGAAGAAGGAAACGTTCAACTGGTAAGTAATCCACAAACAATTCTACCACATGAGAGGATATTAAATGTTTATCTCTTCGTTAGGTGAGTACTAAAGAGATCAAGGAATCCATTCCGGTTTCTAACGAAGCTCAAACATCTAAGGAAATCATCCACGTAATAGAGAACGCTGAGAATCTGTATCAAACGGCTATTTCGGAAAATTATCAGACGATGTCGGACACGACATTTAAGGCTCTGCGAAGACTCCTGCCCGTCACCAGGACAAAAATGGATTGGAATAAGATCGTATCTTATAGTATTGGAAAAGAACTAAAAACACAATGATTAGTGACTGAGTTTTAATAGAGCGTACGGCTATTATTAATAAATCTTTTTCTGTGCTGCCATTTTAGCTTAAAACGCTGTTTTGGAATTGATGCGGTGTGTCCGATTAATGGATTTTACAATTATTTAACGTTACGCTGGATTTTTGGGGGTTTTGAAGTTAAAATGGCAGTTTGCTTAGGGATGTTTTTTCTGTAAATATTGGTGTTGACCTTGTTAAGTTTTTCAGATAACAGGGATAGCCAATTTTTAGGATAATTCTATTTGAAAGTATTTATCTTAACCATCTAAATTATTGTTCATTTTAACAATTTTATTAATCTATGTTTTTTACTTACTGGGTAGAATGCTTTTTGTACTATTAGGTGATCAGTCTTTCCAAATTTTTATTTATAATAATTTACAGTTATATATTCGATTTCTTTAATAGTAGGTTTATAGTTCGTTTTATTCATAAAAGCGCAAATTATGAGGTATTGGATTTTTATACAGATGGCATTTATTTTGAAAACTTAAATTATTTTGTAATGATTCAAACCATCATAATGGATTCTGAATAATTTGCTGCATCATATCTTTAGAATTTCCATCATTGAAAAACTATTTTTTTTTATAGAAACTTGTCTTTTATGCATTTGCTATAATTAATTTGTAAACGTATCTTTAATAATTCTTTTGTACAAACTCATCCCACAATAACTTGAAATCTATCCCTGTTTTTTACGGAATGTGTGCAATATTAATACACGCCGTAAAAAATGTGCTTTGGATATTGGCTTTACTTTTTTACGAATTTTTACCACTTCTCGTATTTTTTAACATTAAAATTGATATTTATATTTGTTTTCGATCACTAGCTAGATTCAACCAAACATTTTTATCTCGTTATTACGCAAGTATCATAAAAATGAGTCATTTTTTATCAATTTGTGGTTCGAGTACAGCGAAGAAAACAACACAGTAGATTCGAAGTGCCGCTTGTATTTATTTTTTTTCATTTGATTATCTCTTTCGAAAAGATATATCGATTTATTCAAAGCTAATGGAGTTACGGAGTTCCTTGATGAAAATTGTGGTGTTTTGTTGCGTCTAGGTATTTTTCCTGTTACTTTATATTCTTGGTGACTAGGTATTTTGTCACTTTCCATTGCTGCCGTAAAAATATTAAATAATTTATATATTGTTAGAGTCAACAATTGTATGGGTTATTTTTAAATAAAAAAAGTAACTTCTTTTTATTAAATTTTATTTAATCGTAACGTTATAATATATTTTTCGAATTCCAAAAATAACCACATTGACTAGACCTCCTTATGAGTTAATACAGGGTGTTCTCATACTTATGGCACTAAATTGTAGGTGCGGTAGTTTGCATAATTTGAGACCGGATTCGCAGATTTCATTTATCCAAAAAATTATAATAAACAAAATAGTCATTAGAAATAAATGCAAAGAGCGAATATAACCCTGGCCTGAATAGTCAGCTGATCGGAATTTTAATTCAAAAAACAGATTCGGTGTGTTTATCAGCGAGCGCGAATTTCCCCCTCCGCCCTCCAGCTTTCGAGAAACGTTATCGATGCCGGTTCTTTTCTTTCTAGTGAGAATTGTATTGTTTTGTTTTTAACATCGGGGTTAATTAGATTTTTGTGATTGACTAGTGATTAATTGGATTGTTCAAGTTCTTAGTGTTCTTAGATTAGTTAGTTCTTCTAGCTTTCAACAACAAAATAGGTGAGCTAATATTTCTTTGGAGTTAGTTTATTTTTTTATATTGTTTGAAAAACCCGGTTTACTTTTATAATTTATCCATAATTCTAATAATTTAGAGACCATACGGAATAAATAAGTAATAAACAAATTCAAATAAGATATTACTCATAATTTGCTCATTATTTTATCGATTCTAATCTATGGAGAACGCGATCTACCGCTATTTCAAATTTTGTTTATTATAATTTTTTTAGAAAAATGAAATCGGCAAATCGCTATCAAATTATGCAAACTACCACCCCTTTAATTTATTGCACCAAATAAGGTCTAGAACACCCTGTAGGTAGCAACATTGCAATTTTTGTTATCGTAGTGTCAACATTTTAGTTTTTTTCTATCCACTCATAATTTTTCATAATCTTACGTAATCCACGCCCTTTGTGACCCTGTTTAGTTGCTAAAAAACAAACCAGAATACTTTGTACAATTATACATTGCATGGAACAAGTGATTTAATTAATGCATCTTATAAAAACGTTTCCCACTGAAGTGCACGCTGGTGCGATTTAAACAATTTATTTCACGGTTACATCACCCTTGCTCTCCACGGTCATGCCATCGAAGAACTCATCGAATTCACCAAAATTCCAAGGCGGCTCCGCCGATTCCTCCAGCTTGGGTAGCTGCGATATCCTGCAGGGAAAGGGCCTTTCGCGGAAAAATCTGTCCTGTAGTGCCTGACAATTACACTAAACTGTAGAGTGTATATAAATACTAGGAAAGAGTGTAATGTACCTCTTTTGCCGTGTAGCGTTTATTTTGGTCGTAAATTAGGATTTTTCCGATTAAATTTAACGTCACACAATCGGCGTCTGGTAGAATGATGCTCCATTTTTTCGGCTCGCTATGGCTGAAAGAAATCTTGTTGTAATCCGGCAAAAGCGTCAAACCCGGCCAGTTTTCGCAAGAGGGTGTACCCAAAGTCCCCAGCACGATTGCTAATTGTTCAATATCCGTTTCCCCCTAAAAAAAAGCATCGTTACTCCCTTGTAATCAATCTAAAATGGTGTTTCTAACGGGAAATAACGGTTTCCTTTGGATCATTTCAGCGAGTATGCAGCCAACAGACCACATGTCTACTGATTTATTGTACGTTTTAGAGCCGTACAACAGCTCGGGTGATCTGTACCATCTCGTAGCGACTTGATGGGAATACAATCGCTTCTTTTCGTGATCGTATATCCGGGCCAATCCAAAATCTCCTATCTTTAAGATCCCCTTTGTACCGATCAGCAAATTCGACGGTTTTAAATCCTTCAAATTATTTAGTTACTTTGTTTATTTCGATAAACATAACGAGACTTACTCTGTGCATGATATGATGGCTATGCATGTAATTTACCCCTTTTAGAATCATTTTGCAGTAAGTTTTGATTTGCGCCAGATTTAGAGAGTGGTTTTTGTTTTTGATCACTTCATAAAGGGACCAAGGCAGATATTCCATTGCTAACACTACCGAGCTGCCTATGGCGAATACTTCCAGCAGTTTAACAATCTGTGGAATATAGAGAGTCAAATTTAGTATTCAATTATGTTTCTTTCAGTACTCATAAATAGCTAGTAGAACTTCTATTCTATAACTCGCAAAGTTGATCGAGTTCATTAAAAAAATAAAGTGTGATAAGAAGAAAATAGTGAGAAGCAACAAAATACACTCTTTAATCTTACATGAGTGTATTTCAAAACTCTCAATGTTAGTATCTCTCGTAGAACATTATTGGGGATTTCTGAATCGGGGTTTACAGCGATTTTTTTAAGTGCCACCACCTCGTCGTTTCTCAAATCTTCTCCTTTAAATACGAATCCGTGAGCTCCTTCGCCTGCCCTTCCTGTTATCTTGTAATTTTCCATGTTATTGTTGAACTTAAATGTTATTTCATAATTTTTATTATTATGTCAAAAAGGAGGTTATGTTTTTGTTTGTATTTCAATTTTTCTGCTTCTTTTTCATTATCGGTGGCCTTTAACGCATTGGCTATTTGGCTCGCTTGATAGTGGAATGAAAACTTTTGTATTTTTTTAGGCAAAAAACAGGTTTATTATTTCCATTACAATTCTTTATTAATGCGTTCATTTTTGTTACACCAAATAATCACACTTATTCTGAAAGTTTTATTACTTTTATACCCTGTTATAACATTTACCATATCCATCACAATGACAAGTAGTAAACGACAATTTTATCCACAAAGATAAAAGAAAAGCTATGGATGAAAACTATTATGGGGATATAAAAACATTTCTCCGAATAGGACTTGGTAAGATTTCAACACAATTCTTCTACAGCATACAGAGGCCCCATACCATAACATTTTTACAGTCCTCTTGTCCAGAATGGGATTCATGCTGGTACAAATCGGCACCATACCGATTCAAAACGTCTACAGAATCGTATTTTTCAACGTATTCGAAATCGGACTAGCCATTATTTCGTATGTCACCATCGGCTATATGTTCACCTATGGAGAACACTCGTTGGCTGGGATTTTGGGATACACCAGCTCACCTTTTAACATCACCTCGAATATAACTGACCAGATTATATTCGGTAATAATACTTTATAATATAGGAAAATTTACCTACTAATTAGGAGAAAAAAAGAGTACAATTCTCGATGATTTCAGGCTTATCTGGAGTCCTATTGGGTTCCGCCGAACTGTCGTGTTTCACAATAGGAAGAATCCACCTGGTAGCCTCATTTATTGTTTCCCTGCTCTACTGCATGCTGTACCAGCCGATGCTGGCGCATTGGATAGATCGCGAAGACGGTTGGATGAGAAACAACACTTTATTCGACAAGAAAGTCGAAATCAAGGATTACGCCGGCAATATGGTCGTACACTTATCGAGCAGCTTAATGGGCGCCATAGGTAACACCCTCGCCTACGCTAAAATCTGTAATTGCTAGCTCCGTTTGCAGGAGCCGCTTTCCTCGGCAGAAGGCTCATGCGATTGAAGGACTTGGACGAGCGATCGATCGCGCGAGAATACTCCGCATTAACGGTAATCGGTTACCTACTAGTACTAATCGGTTACGCAGCCTTTAGCCTCCCGACGAATCAATACGTGAGGACCCCGGACAACTACATAGCCTTCATAGTGCTCAACATATGCACGGCGTTCGCCACAGGTAAATAAAAACCGAACGAACGGTCCACGGGAGTTCTCAAGCGCGTTTTTGCAGGAGTGTTGCTCACCAGCCTGTTGAACATCTTCATCGCCAGACGCATCCTGAACTACTGGTCGGTGCTGAGGTGCTTCCAAGGCGGGATAGCCGGAGTGATATCCATCGCGGCCGCCACGGATATCTACAACGTGCCCCGGAGCGCCGGCGTGGCCGCCGTCGCCGCCCTGTTCTTCTTCTTCTTCGCCATACTGGTGCACAACACGCTGCTGGAGGACAACTGCAATTTGATATCCTCGCATCTGGTGGCCTCCATCGTTGGGACGATCGCCTGTCCGATCGTCGCCAAGAAGGAGAACCTGGGAGGCAGGGAGAAGGGCACGCACCTGCTGTGGCAGTTCATTTGCCTGCTGGTGGTGCTGGCTACCACGATCGTGTACTCGTGGTTGTTGTTTCTGTTGTTGTCGTGTTGTAAGTTGTTGCGGAACAAGGACGAGGCGTTGAATCACCGGAGGGCGGTGGCGGTGGCGAAGTATCTGCCGAGGAAGAGCTGCTTGCAGAGGCTGTTTATGATCGATAGTAAAACCGATCACATAGCGCCCGGTGATGGCGATAGAAGTAAGTATTTGAACGAGTTGTAGATGTAGATGTAGATTTTTTTATTGTTATACTTAGAATATTATGGGCTGCATTAGGTACATTTTATTTATATGAAAAGTATATACTTAACATATTTATCAAAACTATATTTACCTAACAAGATAGTTAAGTTAAGGAAGGGAGAAATAAAAGTTGGTTGTAATTTTCATTAGGCGTAATTATTTTACAATCACAAAGTTTATAAATATTGCTATTTCGTCAAGACTTAAAAAACTTTATACACAATAGTAACAGTATTTTCTAATAGGTTCCTTTTTTGTTAGAAAAAACGTTCTCCGCGAGATATATTCATATTTACAAATTTTCCATTTTGAGCTATAAAATACTATGTATACAGGGCGGTCGATAAATAATAGTCCGTATAAATAAGAGTATTAGAAATTGAACTTATAAATCTACAAATTTATCAAAAAACACACTAAAAAGAATAAATTTATAATCAAATATTTCAGGACGAATTTTTCTGATTCAAAACAAAATAAGTATTTTATGTTTATTCAGTTATTTTACGGTCCATTTTTTACCGGACATACCCCGTATTTTGTTTGTAAAAAAGACAACGAAACGTCTCTAATACAAAACACATTAATCTATTATTCAATCGCCATAAAAAATTGTATACAAGATATATATAAATATATAAAAAAATAAATGCGCGTACAAAAAAAAAACGATCGATGTTCTAACTAAACGTTCGAGTTCGTTTACATTAAAAATTATAAAACTAAAAATATACAATTCATAAAATATACATTATACACAAAAATTAAGATTAAGAAAATGAGCAAAGATTTTATTATATGAAGTAATATACAAAATGCATCGCTTTTAGCAATTTAGCGCTTTTAAAGCGATCCACTCTGTATATATTTAAGTACAAAATTGCACTTACAAACCAAAACAACACAATAAAATATACAATTATATTGCAATGTAGGCCAATGTTTTGCTTTAATTTATGCAGCGAATCGTTGAAATTTGAAATTATTTAAAAAAATATACACTCGCATTAGACTTTTACTATACAAAAAATATCTTTGGTATATATTTCAAATTTATAACAAGAAACATTCTCCTCCTCATTGTAACAATTTTCCTCGAAATAAAAACAACTACTAGAAAAGCAAATGGCGAGTTTCTCGTACACGAAAACAAGCTATTGCACGAAAAAACCGAAATTAGAATTACGAATCGAAAACTGGGAAGCTCTCCTTGCAAAAATATATCATTTTTGCCTTAAGTTTGTCTTTTTTTTATACAATTTTCTTTAAATAACACCGCAATGATTTGTTTTTAATAGGAATTGACATAAATTTCACGTGAAACCGATAGATTTTTCACCGATTTGATATGTACATTTTCTTACTGTTTTGTACGGATAAAGAATGAAAAAGATGTGATTTAATAGGTTTTTTTTTGATAAAAATATTTCTTTTTAATTTGCATTCTTAACACTCGTAAGGCTAATTTCAACCTAAAAATTTGCTAAACAATATTCAAAAGGGGGTTTATAAGAATACAACAAAGCAAAATATAGCAAATTTATAGGAAAGAAAGAATTAATAAAGAAGTTAAGAAGCTTGGTATAATAACGAAAAACTATTGGAAAACATTTTGTGAAATTGAGCTCCTTAAAAAAAGTTGAATTTTCCTTACGAATCCGTACAAAACAGTCTCTCTACGTTCCGATTAATGTTTAATCAATAATTCAGGTTCAATTAATTTAATTGCGCATTCGTAAAAAATTACAATAGTCGTGCGTGTTTATCCTCCAAGAAATCCGAATTTAAACAACATTTTAAAATTTGATATTCTAGATAATGCATGTAAATAAAAGTAAAAAACCAGAAAGAAAGATCGATTTATATAATTACTCAGTCTTCTCGTCATAAATTCACTTAATTTTAACATCACTTCGATTTTTTTCAAGTTTATTTTAGCTAAATACAGAACGTCAAAAAACGCGATTGATTGATTGATAAGAAGACGATATGAAAGGATAAGTAACTTTACGTTTTTGTAACACTCTGTATAACTTTCGAAATCGGTTAGAAAAGAGTTACTGATTTAGGTTTATTTAAAATAACAAAAAATTTCGGGGTTTTTAATACAATTAGTCTCTATATCCCAATTCAATTAACTAACGTATATTTTCGACGCCTCATCAGTACCTTTTTTCCCCCGAATTCACCCCCAAAAAACAACGAATTTTGATTCAAAAACCTCCCACCCTCTTTCGAATCGTTTCACCTATAACAAAAAACAAACCGCACTTCGACGTCTAATTACACGTGCGTCGCCATCGTCCCTCGTTTAAGCGTCGCGACGTTCGAATTGGGCACTATGTACTGGCTCGTCGGCGAGTTGGGCAGCCTCGTCACCTGGGGCACCGACCCGTTGGCGCCGTTCGCCACCACGGTGTTCACCACGTTGGCGCTCGCCGTTATCATGCCGCAGCTGCCCACCAGCCGCGAGGCGTCCCTCGAGTAGGGCGGCGGCGCCGGCGTCGCCGCCGGGTTCGCCGTGTTCGGCGTCGGCAGCCCGACGCTCGGGTTTCTGAGGTAGGGGTTGCCTGAAGGATACAAATTTGTACGGTTAAAATCTAGACGATATTGGCAACAAGGTGATCAATATTTTAAAGAGGCGAGCAACCTTTTGAAGAGGTAGTTAATATTCTGAAGAGGTAAGCAACATTTTGAAGAGGTTAACATCATTTGAAAGAGGTGAGCACTATTTCGAAGAGGTAGTTAATATTTTGAAGAGGTAAGCAATATTTTAAAGAAACGAACAACATTTGAAAGTAGTGGAGAATATTTGGAAGAGGTGATTAACATTAATATTTTGAAGAGGTGAAGATAAGGTTTAAGATTAAGTACTTACCGTATGTGGCGCTGAACCTGGGGTCGATGGAAGGCAGGCATCCGTTGGGGATGGACTGGTGAGACAGGTGCAGGTCCGAGAGATCGCTGAGGGGCAGACTCGAGCCTGACACGGGTATCTGGTGGTTCTGGAGGGAGTTCAACTGGAGGCGTGTGGATTGTAGGCTTTCCCTCGTGGGGTCCATGCAGGAGGGTATGGGCGCTTGCATCAGAGGGGGATTGTAGTCTCTGGCGTAGTCCACGTAAGGAACGTAGCCGTTGTTGTTTTGACCGTCCTGGAACAAGAACTGCTACTTATTGAGCGTACGGAGTATACAAGAAATAACCAGCTACATTTTGGTTAGTCGAATGCAACTTACTTTAGGGGGAATGTTTGGCTCTGTGTATTCTCCCGAATACCTATAGATATCTTGTCCGGGAACGTTGACAGGACCGGCCAGGGGGACTCCTATCCTGGTGATGACCGATTCGCTGCCAGTTTCCGATTCAGCGCCCGGAATGTAGTCCAGGTCGCAATGGACGTTGCTGTTGGAAGAGCCCGTTCTCAGATCGAGCTTCAAATCTGAGATGTTTGAACTTCGGTCTGATTCCTTGCACTGTTTCTCCATGGTATTCGTGTCTGCTGAAACACATTTGACTGTTTAGCAAAGAACTTTTATAGAAGAATTAGGCACTTACTCTCAGGATGCGGTTTCTTACTCCCCTGCCTTTGGCAAAGAAATATAACCATTATAATTATAATGAGTATTATAATAACGACGACAACTCCAATTATGACAATCAGCATTGGGAAGCTTTCTAAAAGACAAAAAAAACAATTTAGGTTTAAGTAATATTAGAAATAAAAACTAATTTACTTTGAGGCATGAGGCTAATCTCCACAACATCGCTCCCGTACGGGTTGGCAACGCTGCAATTGTACATTCCGAAATGCTTCTCCTGGGATTCCCTGATGATTAAAGTGGATTTTATGCCTTCCGGTAGAGGGTCCTCCAGGATGGAGTAATCCTGGTCGTTGAGGTCGACTTCTCGACCGTTGAACGTCCAGACGACCCTCTCTGGCGCCGGAATCGAAAAAGCGGTGCACTCCACTCTAACGTTATCGCCTTCTATACCGAACTGCGTCCGATGGCTAACGATAGACGGTGGACCTGCGTAGGAAATTCGATTAGAATAACTGCAAAACGGGGTTCGTAAAACATTACCTTTGAGGTAAATGGCTGCTTCGGCGCCGATTTCCTGGAAACCCGGAACCCTGGCCTTGCAGTAGTACCTCCCAGCCGTGCTGTGGTCCACTCTCAGTGTTAGATTAGCGATGGTGCTGACGATTTTCTTCTGGTCCTCGTGGTACCAGGATATATCCGGCGCGGGGTTACCGTCAACATCGCAAGTCAACGTCACGCTCGCTCCAAGATCGGATTGCACCGATTTCGGCCTCGTCCTGAATTGAGGACCATCTAAAAAAAAAACGACAATAAAGAACCCAACGAACTCCTCGAGCGGTAGCTAACTCACAGCTGATATCCAGCGATTGGCTCTCCTCGCTTTTGCCGACGGCGTTGTGCACCTCGCACTTGACGATGGCGTCGTGGTGTCGCCTGGTGACGTTGTGGAGCACCAGCTCGGTGGCGAAGTCGCCGATGAGGGGCTCGTCGTTCAGGTACCATTTGTAGGTGACGTTCGGGGGATTGGCGTCCGCCTTGCAGCCCAACCGCACCTCGGAGCCTTCGGGGATGCGGCCGTTGGGGCCCAGGCCGGACAGCACCGTCACCGATACTTTGGGGGCGTACTTCACCTGGAATTACAATCAATAGGTTATTGAAGGTGGTGTCGATGCTGATAGGTTTGTACAGATTAAAAAGTAGCTGGTGCTTGTTATATCTGTAGGTCTGTAGAAAGATTTTTTGGCATGAACGGGAAGATGTGACCCATTTTGAATCGAAAATAGGTTTTTGAATGGGTTATTGCGGAAAATAAAGTATCAATCGTGGAACGAAAAAAAATTAGTGGAAAATACAAAGCGGGGACAATTGAGTTGGGGGTTTGATCAAACAAACCCATTAAAAACTAAAACATCTACTTTAATCCGAAAAATGGCGATCGATTCGATGAACAAAAAGCGAGCGGGTGAAAGCAAAATAAAAAAAAACGGGCACGTATCTACACACAGAAAGTATACATATGCGAAAATAGGCAACAAATCCGTCTATTTTGCGACGAACAAAACGAAAATCGACATCTATTAACCTCGCATTATAGACGGCCGAATTCGACCGCGAAATCGTTTTGAAAACTGGAAATTGTCGGATTTGCGTACATCAATCGCCTGAATTTATTAGCCGGCTCCAGCGAAAGGCAATTTTCGGTGAGTTATTAGAATTTTGCCGGAGAAACACAGCAAACGCGCACAACAATAGACGTGTGCAGGTGCTCGAAAAAATACCGAAACGAATCGCAACAAATCGTCGACAATACAGAAACGCCGAATTTTCAACAATGAACGTGAAATAATTTTATTTTCTCTATTTTTTATTTATTTGGTTTTTTCTCGTACTGACCTCCAATTTCAATTTGGCCGAGCGATGGGTCCTTTCGGCGGTGTTCTGCGCTTGACAGGTGAAAGTCGTGTTGTGGTGGATTTTCCTGGGCGTCAATTTCAATATCGACTTTGCCGTGTATCTTCGTCCATCGGACAGCTTTTCCACTATGTTCTCAATGCCCTCCGACAGAACGTTCCCTGGAAACGAACCCGGAATTTATTTAATCGACTGTCGACCACGTCACTAACATTTCTCAACCCGTACATGTTTAAATACGAAGTGAACGCGAAGATAATATTATAAGTGTATTTTTTACCTAGGCCATCGATCCAAGTGATTTCAGCGGCGGGTTTTCCACCGTAGCTGATGCACTCCAGCTCGATTTCCCGGTCTTCGGTGGTGACTAAGAAACCGCCTTGGACGATTTTGGGGGGCTCGGGCGGCACGAGGACCGTCAACCGCGCGAAGTGGCTCCTAATCCCCATTTGCCCTTGGGCTCCAGTCGATACTTGGCATTCGTACCGGGCGTCATCGTCCAACATCACGGGGAATATTTCCAAAGAATAATCGCCTGGAAAAAAACCATATAATGTAATGTACAGTCATAAGATCCCACTTCAATTACATTATCGGGTTATTTTTATACATCAAGGATAATAATTAGTAGTGATAACGCCGAAATGATAAAATCGAACCTGCAATATGTATTTGCTGTCACAAACTGCATTAAAGTATTTCCCAAGCGGCAGTAGCGCATATGCGATTTGTCGATTTCGAAACGCCACAATTCGAATGCATTTCCATAAACAAAACGAAAAAGTCGCTTCGTAAACACGCCGAAATAGATTGTGTTGGAAACAAAATTAATTCCACAAGTGTTAGGGTATTGTTTAGACTATTTCTATTCGCAGGTCACCAAACTTATTCGATTTTTATAGCGGATTCCTTAAAAAAAACAAACCGAAATCTGCATTACCAGCTCATAAACTCCAGATTATTCATCTAAGGCAGTGAGTTCCAATAGAGCAGTTAAAATTCCCGTCTAATTTAATTGAGTCCTCCATGCGATGCCAAAGGGGGTTTTATTGACCAACATAAAAACGGACCAGCAGCCATCATAACTTCAATGATACTAACAGTAACCGTAATAATAATAGGAGGAAGTGGAAACAAGAGGAAAGGGAGCCGAGAAAGGCCAATAAAAACCGAAGGTCATAAAAGGAGCGGAAAGAGTTAATATCGGTGTCTTTTCGACAATTGGTACGAATTTGGTAAGGTAGGCGCGTTAACCATTTACAATTCCTGCGAGAGAGACGTTGATATAATTCGCAGGACCGTAATAAAATGGAGTTTTATAGTAACGCGAGCGTCATTTTTTTTGATAGTGTATACGTGAAATGATTTTTCGAGACGTAAAAATGATTGACTATTCAAACGAATATCTGATCCGGTACATTTTACCAGCGGATACTATTAAAATTAGGTTCAGGAATGTTCGCAAACGTCAGGGAAGTTAATTAAGATCATCCAAGGGATAAAATTGCAATAATAACACTCCTAGCAGTCGACGCTTCGCTGGCCCATTTTGTTTTTCCTGGCGAAATTAAATTCCCTTTCTAGTTGGCGCGCTTTCCACTTGAAGCAAAAATTTAAAAAAAAAGGAAAAACTTTATTATCTCAATTTTCTCTATGCTACGGTAAAAACACCAATAAAGAGTCTTCCTTCCTTCATTACTTCCCTCGTTCCGTATATACCCTACGTTTTACGATTTCGCATTTTTTCCTCGACTCCTCGACGGTTTTCACCTTGTTTTCCCCCGGAAGGCACCGAATCAATCGCGCCGAAAGGTAACGCGCATTTCCACCGCTCGGATTAATTACAGAATTAGGCGTTTATCTTCAGCAGTGGATTAGTTAACGGGCCGTTTAACAAGCGCTTTTTTCCCGTACCGTTTTAGGGCCGCGCTATCGCGGCCCCGCCGAATTCAATATATCACCGGAGCGACATTATCTTTCCGCCCGGTGTCCCGCCGTCGCCTGGAGGCTTATTACCCGTACGTCGGGACGCCGACCACCGTAACCTATGGCATATAACGACCTCTGGACGTCTCCCAAAGGAAAGGGCGGGCGCTGCGACGCCAGATAACGGCGCCGGAGACGATCATCGCATTGTATAGCAGCGGCTCTTGTAATTACGCCGTAAAAAATAACGCCTCGAATGGGTTTCGAGTTCGAGACGGCGGATTATTGTACGCTCTGGAGGAAGCTCGTTTTACGGTGATTTGCGTTTAAGTAACTTGAGATGTGTCAATTTGGTAGAGCACAGATAATTCAGTTTCTGCTGATGTTGTTAAATGGCTTCGAAAAGGTTAATAGAAACAGCGCGATATCGGAAATTTCATATGGCATTTAAGCCTGCCATAAAGTCCGGTGCGAAGGGCCTGGCTAACGCTTTTCACCATCTGCGGCCCTCGGGGGATAAATAATACTCAAAGTCGCCGTAACGTCCGGATTCGAATCGGAATATCCCGGCCTTAGGACCCTAAAAGGCAAGTGCGTTATGTTAAAGAAACGGAGAAAAAAGACGTGCGAAGAGGAGGATTTTTTTCTATACCTATCGACGTACTAATCGATATGTTTGATTAACTATTACCTAGACAAATACCGTGGAGCACGCACCGGGAATTTTCCAGTCGAGTTTTAATTACCGAGTCGCCGTGGCACCGCGGCGACAATTAGAAACACCCACAGAGGAGGGCCGAAAGTGCGTTTTCTAGGTAACGCTCTCGAAGTGCAGGTGCCAACGGATCGGCTTTGTGTGCGCTAGGAATTATCGCGCTCCGCAGGTCCTAATTGGGCCAGCACGAGTCTCTCCTGTCCGAGACCTCGGTTTGCACAACGGATTATGAGCACGTGTCGGAACGCGCTCTCGACGTCGATTTTCGAAAGAACAACGACCCGGGACCTTTAATTTTCGCGCCGTATCGGATGTCGTTAAGGCGGATGGGAAAGTCCTTAATTAAACCCCAGAAGACGGTTCTCAGAGATACACTGCATGTACAGGGTGCACCTTGATCAGTTAAAACTACACTCAAAAAATGATTGTGAAATCGCGATACTTCACTCTGTATATTGAAGAGAAAAATTCTCCCGCGTTCGATTGTTGTGTAGACAAAACGTGAATTTATCAAGACACAATCTCCTGTAAAATATCGTCTTTTTGACGCGGCCGTTGGTATTTTTTCGTCGGCATTCCTTCGGTAAATAAATTCCGAAAAGGCGCTTGAAAAATGAACGGTCAGCTGTTTAGCCCTTTCTCGTTCGTCCTGTCGAATGGACGTACAGGAGGAAGCGAGCCGGAACGATAAACCGTGACAAAACGCCCGTTGGCCAAAGCTTGATGGCCCTTCACCTATGACAAACGCCGCTTTCGGTGCAACAATAAAGAACCATCGTTGCACCTCAAATATTATTTCCTCGCTACACCCGGAATCTTGTTTCCACTTCACCCTTTATTAATCGCATACACAATAAAATGAAAATGTAGGTACTACTTAATTTAAAGCTTTATTTATAGACTCTCTAGAATAAAACTCTCCAATCAGTGAGTGAAGGGAAGAATTAAAGATGGAAAAACTCACCTTCCTCGTCGCTACCGACCATGGAGTAGCGATCGAAGCCGCTGAGGTTCCTGTGCGTGCCGAGGCCGAAGTCGTCCTTGGTCCACTGCAGGACGCCGCTCTTGCCGATCACCCTGCAGGGCAGTGTGACCTTGGAGCCGACCACTGCCGTCTGATCCTGCGGCTCCATGGCGAATTTCTGCTCCCGCATTTCGGCGGCGACGGCGAGGACGCCGAGGCTCGTCATCCGCAGGAGCAACAGCAGGAATTTGTGTGTTGATGTCATCGTTGATTGTCTGTGTATCTGCAAAGAAGAGAGATCGGTGAGCGTGCGGTCGCGTTCGGTCCTGGTTCGATATTCTATTATGGGAAATTCGAACGGTATTTCTTTTAAGTGAGGTTGTCGATTTTGCATGTAAATAATAAACATCTCTCGAACAGGCGATAAAAGCTTTTTGATTTCTCCCGCGTTTGTTCGCCAACCGTTTTCTTATTGTATTTCGCCTATTTATCGCGAACGCCTTGTCGCAGGAAAGCGAATATGATAATGCGATGCGGAGAAATCCTTTCTTTTTTTCCCTTTCCCTCTTGCATTGAAAATAAAGCCTGCACAATAAACTCGTTGTCGCTTTATGCGATTTCGAATCGAATTGATTGAAATTTTATAACTATTTTAACGAGTTGTCATAATGAAAGAAACCTCTCTGCGCCACTACAGACGTCGTGACGTCCTTTCGAATAGCGAAAATATAGATTGTCTCGCCTTATATCTGCAGACTGTTGAATTTTTATGACGAAATTAGAGCCAGCAGAGATAATTTCGAATTAGAATGGAAGAAACCTTTGCAATTCGCAGGAGATGTGGCGGAATTAAAAGCTCGCAGAACTGTAGATTACACCGTAATCCCTGCGAGAATGTATGTATTTCAATAGATGTGAACTAATCGAGATGTAAGATCATAAGGAAATTTTTAAACGAGGCTTCACAGCGAGTCTTTTGGGCTAGAATAAAATAGTCCTTCAAAGTTAATAATAAATCTTATAATATGACAAAAACGTTTCAGGATAGCAGCGTAGAGATATTATTGTACAAAACTAAAAAGAAATTAGAACTATAAAGTTAACTGTAAAAATAAAAATATCTATAATTCTTAATGAAGTTCGTTTTACGACCGAAAGTTCAGCTATTTGGGAATTTAATCGTCGAAATCATAATTTTATATTTTTAAAAGAATATCAGTCGTAAAAGCGGCAGTAAACTTAACAAAAACCGTCTTCATAAGCACACGGATGTTCGTTTAATGTCCGCTACAGTTTCGGTTTAATCGACCCCTATACACGTAAGTATCATAATTTTTTCGGAAATATTTTCATAATCCACTCGTTAACCAAGCACAAGCGAAGCGTTAACCGTGGAACAATCCGCCCGACCGCGCCAATTTCGCCACCACGTGGAATGGTCCAACTCCCCCTCGACAATTCGCCCTTCTTCCCCTTTGCGAGATTGCCTTTCGGCGAATTTGTTTGCCTTTCGCTCGCGTATTTACTTTCGAAATCAAACAAAAGTTGGTCACCGGGATTACCAAGGCCATCTGGAGGATCGCCGGCCTGCATATACACATAAGCTTACCGAGAAAGTTCCGGCTCTGTTGTCGTTAGACCGGAATTTCCAACGCTCGAATTAATTACCTAGCACATTGGTTGGTTTTTTTACGATGAGTAGGTAATTGAGAAGTTATTTTTTCGCCACTTCCTCGAGCATCCCTTAGGCAATAAAAACTAGCGGTTTTATCGCATCTTTCACTCAAGTAAATAGCCACATCACAATTACAACAAAACACGTGTAATGCAACATCTTATACTCTCGTCCCTAAAAGTTACCGACCTTTTCCATCGAAATTATCCAGCTAATGTCTGTTCCAGTTAATTTAATATTCGTTTTATGTACGCGGTTTTTGTCGAATAACGAAATTATAATCGGAGTATTAAAGAATAATACACCTGCTATAAATTCATCGCTAATACTTCCGAGCCTACGGCGGCGTTTAGAGAAAATCTCGAGCGAGTTTTGCGGGCTAATGGCGTAGGTGTTCAACTTATCGAGAACTTTTCGAGCAAACGCTCCTGGAAATACCAATTAGGAAGCCGAAGAGAGAGGTTCCACTTGCAGGAGAAACTCCGGCGAACGCCTCGCAGGAATCTATACTCTTTAATCCGCGCCCCGGAGAAGTAATTAGTTTATATATTTTAGGAGGGTGTCTTAAGTGCTCGACCCAACGGTATCGATCTCTCGGCTTCTTAAATGATTTATTACGGTGCCGGTTTTTGTTACCAGATTAGTATCGCTACGTGCTTTTATTATATCGTTATTCCTTTTTCGATAGAAATTGCATTTCCGTATCCGCCCGGCTGTTAATTAGGAGCTAAGCCTTCCGCCGATAAAGCTTTTTGATGTACCTACGAATAATTCTATTTGCAATACCATATTAATTTTAATGGCGCGATTGCTGTTTGAACCAGAAATTATAGATTAATAAATTCGCCGTGAAAAGTTTCAAAAAATATAGATGACGGCAATTATAAAATGCTTTAATGAGTTAGCGAAGTTGCCTGAAGGATTACTAGGGTTTTATTAGCCGCTTTAAAGGAAAATTAGAACGTTAAAAGGGTAAATTTAAATTATAAATTTGGAAACTATTATCGACTTTTAAAAAGCACTACAAATTTTCTGTATTGTGCATAATTAAATAGAATTTCTCCTGATGCACTCACCCCAACTCATCGAAAACTCGATTTAACATCCGCAGGAACGTAGGCAGTATTTGTTAAATACACTGCAGGAATTCAATTGTATCTTAAATGATTAATTAATCTACGTTTGAACGGGCGAGGCTCCCCTTGTCCCTGCGACCCCGTATCGCGAGCGCGGGGCTTCCTGCGAGTAATTAAAGATTCTGCAGGTTCGCTCCGGAGTCTCCTTTCCTGCACCGTCTGGATGATAATAGGTAAGCGATAGTCCTGATTCTGTATCGAATTAGTAGGAAGCCAAAGAGAAGGAAATTCGTAATTGGACGTTTATTTTTTTCGTTTCGAAATGCGGAATAATTTTTTTTCGATTAAATCGATTTTTCGATAGTGCTTCTAAAAAATGTACATACATATGAACATAGCGGTTTAGATGAGGTTGGAATTTCATTAACAGAATTTAATTTCGAGTTTAATTTTACAGGAAGGAAATAAAACGAAAAAAAAATTAGCGGATTAAAATAATTTTGCTCGTGACCCGCCGTCGATGGGCGCTCGCGAGCGTAAAAAATAATAAAAAAGCCGTTTTAGACCTCGGCGAAAAAAAAAAAAATACGGAAAGAAATTCTAAACTCCTTTTGTTTGCGTCGAATTTCCTTTTTGATCTTTTTATTCGGCGTTGACAAAAAGAAAGACGAGCTATTAACTCGAGAAAAATTCCTTATTGTTCATTGCGAATAAAAAGACACGGAGGAGCGTCCTCTAAATCGGAACGTGACTTTCATATTTCGCCGGGGAGCAGGAGAAGGAAATGGGAAAATTAAGCGGCCCTATGTCAAAAAAAACGCGATTCGTTTCCACACTTTTTCTCCTGACGAACGTGTACACTCCTTCCTGCTGACTCAATTTCTAAACAATTTTCAGCTCCGTTGTTTTGGAATCGTAGGAAAAATAGTGTATACTACTCGAGTGTACCATATTTCTGTTTAGGTCATTAGAGGATATATAAATAAACGATTCCAAGCAGCTCGCAATAAAAACGCAGGCATACATGCATTTCTACCGGTGGAATTTGGAGCTCACAAGGCCCCCCGGGAACCGGGCTTGTAGCATCTTGCATTTTACTTATCCCGACACGTTCGAGCTGTATATAACGTCCGTATTGTCTAGCGGGAGGATTTCAGACGTGCATCGCTAATGTCCTGTTGCGGTTACACCGCCCGGATGCGCGACAAATCTCCCGGAATTTCCGGGGAGTTGCCGGCGATCTTTTCCGTTTAGGATTCCTTGGAAACTCGTATATGTGACGAGCGGAAGTTCTCGAATTGTTGCGCCGGCGAACCTGCATTGGATAATTTAGGAATATCCTGGATGGCGAATATAACTTTCCAGACGCGCAATTTATAGACAATTTCTGGGTGATGAAAGGGCGCAAATCAACTCGGTCATCGAGGAACTTTATTAAAACGCGCATTCGACGCCCCGGAGCGGAGTTGAGCAGGCTCCGGTCACTCTTTTTATTTATTCTACGTAATTTCGCTAGTAAAATAGCCCCTTTTCCATTTACCCCCGTGACTAATTTAATATTTAGGAAGCTTCCTAAAGGGATTCTTTAGGTTTCGCGTTTCGGAATATAGCTTAAATTGTCACTAAAGGAAAAAAAAAGAAAATATGATACCTTAGAAGGGGCGTTTCAATTAAGGGTTGACGCACGTTTTAACGAATGTGACAGAAGATTTTACATCCCCCGAATAACAAAAAAATGGATACAAAAGTAAAAGCGAAAGCCGAGCGTAAATATATGTTAGGGGGAGCGCGGAAGGATTATACTTTCCATTCACATTTCGCATAAACCTCGAGAGAAAATTAGAATAAAAAATGAAATTTCGAGGATGTCTTCCAGTGCGCAGGTAGCCGGAATCCTCCTTACGCGTTCGCAATTAATTCTCAAATTAACCGGATCGTCGACAGGCGGCGTTCCGTTCGTACTCCGGGCCCGGAAAGTAGGTCTATATGTCAAACGAGCGCGGAGCGGCTTGTTTCTCGGTAGCGTGTCGCCTCCAGCCTGCCCCGCCGCTTCCTCGCAATCGATAACTGTTTAGAATTCAAACGGGAGGACGGGCGGCCCCATCCGAATACTATCTTTAATTTAGTCCGTACGCCAGACATCCCCAGACAACTGGAATTACTCCGCGTCGTCTTTTGCGGGTTTTTAGCTACCCACAATTAGCCGCGCGAAGGGGCGGTTTAATTCGAACCGCCCCCCGTAAGAAGAATAGCATGTTACATGCTCCCCTATATACGGTTCAAACGCGAGCACCTTGTATGTTAATGCTAATTGAAGTTCCTTTCTCGCTGTGTTTATGGCGAAAAAAAATTAATTTTCTCGCCCTCTTATCGAGTTTGTACAATTTTTTTGTATTTCCTTTGAATTTCGGTCGCTTTTATCTTCTTTGACAGGAGTTCGTTAATACAGCGCGTCGCCGGAGAAAAGTTTCGTACGCAAACGTAGGAAAATTGCGTTAGGTTTCGGATCGTATAGAAAATAAAGTAAATCCGTAATGAACGAATGCGAGGAAGGAGGAGGAGGAATCCGAACGTAATCTGATTGCTTATAATTTATTATAATTGAAACAATTTGGATGAGCGAGCACTCTAGATTATTAAATA